TGATTTTGGTTTTGGGGTTTTAGTTTTGGTTCGATTTTTTGAGACAGGTCTCACTATTCAGTGCAGGCTGGCCTCAAACTCACTATGTAGCCTAAAATGGCCTCGAACTCACGGTGATCCTCCTGCCTCAACCTCCCATGTACTGGGATTACAGGTGTGCGCCCCACACTGGCTCAGACAACATTATTGTGTGTATAACGACAAGTGATCTGCAAAATGCTGTTAGGTGTAGTGAGTTTGGTAAATCTATAGGATACAGAATCATTGTACAAAAATCAATTGCGTGACTGTAAAAAACAATTGGAAATTTAAATTTTGCATCAGTACCATTTATAATCCCAAAACCAACAGTAATTAGGTATATAAAAGAAATCTATATGCTGAAAATTACAAAACACTGATGAGGGGAATCAAAGAAGACCTAAGTTCACGGATTGGAAGAATCAGTAATGTGAAGATGTCAGTTCTCCCTAAATTGGTATGTAAATCAATGCAACCCCAACCAAAACCCCAATAGAATTTTTAATCAATAAGCTTATTATTGATTTTCAATGGAGAAAAGCAAAGAAACTAAAATAAAATAATTTTGAACTAGGACAAAGGGGACTCAACAATGATTTCAAGTCTCACTATAAAGTTAAGGTCATTAGGACAAGTGTGCAATTGGAGGAAGGACAGATACACAAAGATCAGTGGAATAGAATAGAGAGCCCAAAAATAGAACCACACAAATATGTTCAATGGATTTTCAACAAGGTGTAAAGACAATCCAATCAAAGGAGAAAACTTTTCAACAAGCGGTGTCATATGCCAGGAACCTCAATTCATATCTCACACCTCATATGACAGTTAACTCAAAGTGAGTCATGGCTCTAAATGTATAATCCAAGACTAAAACTTCTAGATGAAAACAGAAGAAAATCTTCCTGACTTTGGATTAAAGACTCCTTTAATAAACTACTGAAGGCATAAGCTATACAAGATGAAAATGATAGGGCCGAGGATTTACCTCAGTGGTGCCACCACCTGCCTCGCAAGTGCAAGGTCCCAAGTTTGATCCCAGGTAGCAAAAAAACAGTGGGAAAATGAAAAATGAGACTTCATCACAATTTAAAACTGTTCATTGAAATATACCATTAAGCAAATAAAAAGATAAGCCACAGACTAAAAGAAAATTGTAAAACATACACTTGATAAAGATCTGGTATACTTAAAAAACTCTTAGGCGGAGGATTTAGCTCAGTGGCACCGCGCCTGCCTCACAAGCTCAAGGTCCTGAGTTTGATCCTCGGCACCAAAAAAAAAGGGAAAAAAACTCTCAAAACTCAATAAGGAAGAAAGGAACCCAGTGTTAAAAACTGTCCAAAGATTCGCACAGACCCTTCACTAGGACGGCTGTGTAAGTGGCAAACAAGCCCATGAAGAGATCCTCATGACAAGGAAGTCAGTCATGGGGGAAGCTCAGATTACCACAGTGCATCCACCAGAATGATGAATCCTAGAAATCCATCCATACCAGATGCTAGCAGTGGATGTGGAGCCACCAGAACACTCACACCCGGTCATACAGATGCAAGATATTTTAGACACTTTTGGAAAGACTGGCTGTTTCCTATAAAGTTAAACATCTACCTCGCACACATCCCAGCCATCCTGCTCCTGAACACCCACTCAGAGGAGTGGGAAGTGTCATGCAGACACCAGTGAGTGTCTCCAGTGGCTAATTTATAGTCACCAAAACTGGAAGCAACTCAGATATCCTCCACTGGTGGACAGGTAAACTCTGATAGAGCTGGTCAGAAAAAAATTAATGAACTGGTACAACCACACAGAAAAACTGCAAGTGTACAGGCCAAGTGGAAGAAGACACTGAGTGGGCCACATACTGTGTGGTCCACTACACAATGCTGCGGAGCAGACAGAACTGTAGGATCAGGAAGCAGGTCAGTGGTGCCAGGCCTGGGGCACCAGGGAGGGCTGGAGCACTGGGTCACTAATTGTGTTGGAGTGCCAGGACAGTTCCCTGACGGGTACAGTCACATAACTGTAGCTTTTTGTTTTGGTCTGGCATTGCTTTTGTTCTAAGACAGGGTCTTTCCATATAGCCCAAGAAAGCTTGAAACTCACTATATAGCACAGGGTAGCCTTGAACTTGTGTCAGTCATCCTGCACCTGCCTCCCAAGCACAAGCACAAGGTCTCGAGTTCGATCCCCGATACCAAAAGAAAAAAACCAAATGCTGGGATTACAGGTGTGCATCACCACGCCTGGTTCATGTGACTGTAAGGCTTTGCCAAAACCAGAAGTGTTCCTACAGGGGGTGAAACTAACTGTACATAATAAATTATATCTTAGTCAACTTAATTTAAGAGGGAAAGAACCTTTCCCTCTTGTGAAGAAGTCATAGTTAAGGAAAAGTGGAGTCAGACAATACGAGTGCCCTTGCTTGAGTGTAAATCGGTCTTAAGCTCTGATGGTCGCTTGCAAGCCCACTGTGGCCTGATGATTCGTGCTCAGAAGGCCACGCCAAGAGGGAGGTACTGTCCAGCCAGCATGGGACCTGTCCACAGCCTCCTAGTGCTCTGCTCCTCTTCCTGGATGGCAGCTTCTCTGTATGTGTTAGAAGATGGCAAATAATAAAAATAAGCATCATGGTGAGACACGAGGGATGGAGACTTGTCCCTGGTGCATGTGGCAGAACACGCTTTGTCCAGTGGGTAGAAGCTGAAGCTGAGGCCCTTGGCACCTAGGAATTCAGTGTGGTATTAACACACCTGCCCATGGGGTCCTCCCCCTTATCCTTCACCTAGGCCTTTTTCAATTTTGATGGTCACATTCCTGCTCTGAATTTTATCCAACATACCTTGAAGCTTTTTAAATTTAGACCAATGGGAAATAAGAAAATAAGACCCAGCCTCCAGATTCTTAGATTCCCTACTCTCTGTGAAATGCTGCCAACAACCACTCCCCGTTAGCCTCCTGGGGACCCTTCATCTTCCTTTGTTCCCAAGCCCTGAGTTTTTCTTTGTGACCAGAAAGGAGCTGAGCACCGCTGGCTTGCAGCCCTTGTGCCTCTGTGGGAGGCCACAGAACTGTAATTGGTTTCTGTCAGGAGAAACCAATGTGGTGATCTTCATCATATAACACTGTTCCACCGCCCACGGCCTCCAGGAGCTCTGCTCAGAGGGAGGCAGAACTGGGTCTGGACTCTGTTTACCAAAGAGCTTTTACTCAGCCAGGAGAGAAATGGCCCCCGGGGCCACTGGGGTGGCTAGGTGGGGCACAGGAAGGGTGATTAAGTCTCCGAGGGTCAGTCTCATCCCTCCTTCTGTTCCAAGGGGCCCTGCTCAGGCCCCCAACTTCCTCGCCTTCTCATGGTACCCTCTGCCCTCTCCTGTCTCTCCATCCACCTCCACTGCACCTTCTCTCCTTCCTGCCTCTGGCTGACCTGTGAGCCTGGTGGCCAGAACTGACTGTGACCAGGAGGATGCTTAGGGTGTGGCATTAGAGTTCCAGGACCAGCCCTCAAGAGAGCTCAGCAGAGTCTGCTTCTGAGAGCTCCAGAACAGCTAGCAGGCTTGCCGAGAGGCTGGGGCCTGGGCCTAAGCCCATGGTGCTGTTGGTCAGTGACCACACAAGTGCCAGACTCTGAGACCCACCAGGCTTCCCATGTGCAGGCTGCCTCTGGCTCTTGCTATCACTGTGGCTGTCTTTGGAGCCTGCCCAAGTCCCCCTCACTCCAAGTCTGGAGCAGTGAGCCAAGGAGCTGGTCAGGGACCAGGAATGCTGTCCCCTCAGTCCATCCCCCTCCCTGCTCACAGCACCCTTTAGACCTCTTCCTCTAGCATGCTCCAGAGAAACCCGAGTCATTAAAGTGCAATATCCCCCTTCCAACGCAGGCTTTGAGTTTTTTCCCTTATTATTGTTCTACATTATTGGTCATTTGTCACTTCTTTTCTAATAAGCTCTGGATTGTCATAAAATGAAGCCAGTTGTTATGAATCCACAGTCTCTCCCACGAGCCGTTGCAGGTTGTTTCTAAACCAGTAAGCATTTCAGGGGAGGCCGTTGACACCTCTTCCTGTCAGTTCTGGGTTTGGATGTCCTCTATTGCTGTTGTTGCTTTTCTGCCAGGTGTGAGTTTCTGCAATTTTTAAGAAGAAAAAGGAAAGAAAGGGCATTGTAATAAAATGCTAGAGAACAAACTCCAGGCCACCTACGAAAATACTGGGGGTGTAGAGTTTGCTTGTTTGTGTTTTGCTGTCAAAGATAACACCAAGCGCTCAAGGAGATGCACAAGTGTTCTGTGAACTTGTGTGGATGAGAGCCGCTCCGGGGTCCCTGTGAGGGAGGCTCCCAGTTCCCAGCCACACGCAGGCTCACAACCCCAGCCTGGCCAGTCTGCTCAGGGTTCTTCAGCCTACACTTTTTCTGCCAGAGGAAGCCGCCTTTAAAATGACAAACATGGGTTCTCTTTGCCTTTGTGTTATCATTGGGGTTGACCCCGAGGCTGGTCGCATAAACTCTTCTGTGCACTATCAGCCAGGAAGAAGTAGGATTTTATTTTTGTTTGATTTCTACTATATTTTGGGACTTTACAACTACCTCCTAGCTTTGTAGCAGGGAACCAGTCAGCCAAATTTACTCACCAGCTCTAAGATGAAGGACATCCAGCAGTATTATACGAATGAGGGTTAGTGTCAAACCAGAGGGCAGGCAGTGCCCGGCCCTCAGGGTCTGGAAGGCACTACCTAGGTCTCCACTCACATCCCTGTTAGCCGCATCCTCAGACCTCTCCCCAAGGGCCTCACCACCCCAAGCCTGGGGCATGCCGTGAGAGGTGCTGCCCTTTGGTCTCTGTGGATGCTGCTCTGTGCCTGGCTAGGGACCGCAGGCTGAACTAGATGGCCCAGAACCTTCTGCCTGAGGCAGGGAAGCTTTAGCTAGAAACTGACTGTTTTCTAGTTGCTGAGTGTAAGTGGATGTTTGTATCATTGAAGATCCCTGAAGAACACGACCTGGAGAGTCAGATCCGCAAGGAGCGAGAGTGGCGGTTCCTCCGGAACACCCTCGTCAGGAGGCAGGCACAGCAGGTCGTCCAGAAGGGTAAGGCCCGCAAGCACACGGTGCCCTCAGGAGGAGAGGCTGGGCCGGGAGGGCGGGCGGGCGGCTCAGCCCTGTGAGCAGACCATCCGCCAGGCCCCAGGACCTTGCCCCGCCTCCCGCCAGCCCGGGGTACCCCTGCACCTTCCTTGCAGATAAGGGCACAGGCTGGTGGAGATGGGGCCATTCAAGGTCATGCAGAAGCTGGAGCTGGGAGCAGGGAAGGGACAGACTGCAGGAAGGGGCTGCCTCTGGAGGAGCCGTGCTGCCCTGGGCAGCCTCTCAGAGGACGAGCACATCTCTAATTTGAGGTTCCCCAAAGGGAAGGCCAAGCCTTTCTGGGGCCCTAGGGTTACATGTTGCACCTGGCAGGGTGCCCTTTCCCAGGAATATAAAGCAGAAAGACAGGCCTGGTCTTGTTCAGCTGCTCTCCATGTGTGCCTGAGGTGATTGTTCCTCTGTTACCCAGACTGCCTTGTAGTCACATCTTCACCAAGCCATTTCCCAGCTTTGCCAGCAGACACCAAAATCGCCCTCTTGTTTGCTCCCAGCCTTGCCTGGAGAAGAGTCAGTGAGTGGCTGAGGACAGCAGGTGTGCACCACTGCCAGGGCCAGCAAGAGTGAAGGGAGGCCATGCGGGAGGTGAGGGGCCCTGAGGTCAACAGAGCTGAGAGCCAGGCAGCCTCTCCCAGGGCGGCACCCACAGTCTGAGCACTGAGAAGTGGCCACCCCTCATCTCCAACCCAGCAGCCAAGTGCCCTTTCTTATGAGCAGGCCATGGCTGGGGACCTGTGGCTGTGCAGTCTGTCGTAGCCAGTCTCGGGCCCTCCCCTGCTCTGTTGATTCACATTTGACCTAGCCTCCCTGTCCTGTGGGATTCATGACAATGACACGTTACCTTCTGAGTTGAGGTTGAGACCCCACAAGACAGACTGTTCCCCTTTTGGCCAAAGCAGAGGCCTTACAGCTGCTGCCCCTGGCCTGGCTGCAGATGGCAGGGTGGCACCTGTCTCTTACCACATGAGCCCCACATGTCCTCCTCCATCAAGCACCCCAAGGCTAGCCATGCCGTGGAAGCACTTTCCCACATGCCTCATCCACATCCACGCACTGTCCCCAGAGTACTGCTCTGCTAAGAACTGACCTAGCAGATCTCTCTGTGCCCCTGCCAAGGCATTGGCAGACTACATCCAAAGCACTCAGTGTCGTGGAATTCAGTGTATGCTGCACCAGCAGCCACCGTGCAGGCGTGTGCAGCCTGCGAGCTGTCAGGAAAGGACCCAGCGCCCGCTCTGCGGCCCTCTTGCATGGCTGGCACAGGAGGTGACTGTCTGGGAGGGTATGCTTCCTTAGGCCCCAGCCTGCTGGCTTGGAAGGCCAGCACAGGTTATTAGCCTGTTGCTCAGAGGCTGGCCTGGTTCACCTCAGTAACCCTGAAAAGAGCTGTCCCCTGCAGCAAGGGCCACACTGAGCCAGGCACTCACAAAACAGAAATGGGTTTTCTACACACACAAAAAAAGAGTATCTTTATAAACCAGAGTTAATCATTCTAAAAAGAGCTCACACAGGGAGAGCTAGTGAACTGCTAGAACATCCACAGGTGAGTCCAGGAGACACTGATAGACTCAATGCTGGGAAAGAGGGTGCGGAGCACAGCCAGGCAGCCCCCCATCACCACCAGGCTCATCAATGGAGATGCACTGTGAACTTATTTTATAGCCAGCCAGCTGTGTATTAGGAAAACAGGGAAAGGTGGAGAAATGATGTCGGTAGACTGAACAAAATTAACCAGAGACAGGAGCTGAGCAGGTCCGTGTGGGTTCCTTCTGTCCCTGAGCCGCCTGTCCATAATTCCTGAAGACCTTCCTGACCTTGGCTGTCACCTGCTCCCGATACGTGCTTACGTATGCCATGCATTCACTGACAGGGTGTTTCCCTTTATCTTTTCATGCTCAAAATTATCACCACTCTTTTGCCTCCTTCCAAAAAACCTTAACCAAGAATGACGGTGCCCCAGGCCAAACTGTGTTGCTGTCACTGAAAACTGCAGGGTTGTTTTCCTCGATTAGTGTAACCCCTCTGATCACAAAGCAGATTTGTCTCCCGATCGTGGCCACTGGTATTTGCCTCTTAAGGAAGAGAGGCTGGAGGATCAGGAGGTGGCAGAGCAGTGACTGGCTGCATGCTGGGCAGTGTCAGCCATCCAGCTGGTCAGCCCCGACCCTGCAGTCCTGGTGCCACCTGAGCAGCAAGGGTCACAGGTAGGGGGCGCTGCTTACATGGTGCCCACAGTCACGCCCAGCTCAGTTACCCATACACAGGGCCTGGTGCCCCAGGGTGGGTTGGCCTGATGCCAAGCATCAAGCCCACCACTCCCCGAAGGAAGACCTGAGAACCTCCCCAGGTTCCCCAGGCCAGACTGGAAGTACGGCCAAGCCACCCAAGAGCTGTGCTCATGGCTAGGGAGGCGTGTGATCCCCAAAACACCCTGCCAGGTACCCAGGGTCCAATGCTAGAGGTGCATGTCTTCCCTCCATGGTGCTGCAGCTGAGGAGCAGCACCTGTACTGGGAGTGCACAGCTGCTCCAAGTAAACCTTGTTACCCCCCAGAAACTGTCCAAACCCATCCTGACTGCTCCTCAGCCTCCTGGTTCCTTCTCAGGGAAACTCGAGAAGCCGTGAGGGTGTGTCTCCTCACGCCAGTGTGGGGCCTAGTGAGGAAACCCATGTCGCCTCTCCTGTGAGCCTTGTGGTCCTTAGGTCGTGCAATTTCCTGGCCAGCCTCTTTGTAGACAGAGGACCCAGCTCCTTGACTGGGTCTCGGGGAGTGGTGAGTCTCCAAGTCAGAGCTCTACCAGCTTAACTTCCAAAGTCCTCAACACTCCACAGACTCCTCCCCAGCTGAGTTTGCCCCAGTCTGCATTGTGCAACTTGACAAGTGTTGAATGAATGTTCACTAAGCGTCCAGCTCTGCCAGGAGTTCTGGGGAGTTGGGAGCAAAGGCACATTCAGGGATATATCCCAAGGACACACTGGGCCGACGTCACCCTGCTCATTCCCCAGTGTGTGCTTTCGGCCCTCTCTTTGGCCCCTGCTTTTCCCTCTGTCTCCTCCATGCCTCGCGGGTCCCCACACACAGGTGTCAATGTCAGCCCCTGAGATGTGCTGTGAGTGTTGCTGGGCACCCAAGACACCACCTGTGTGCTTCCTTTGCAGGCATCACCAGGCTGGATGACCAGATATTCCTCAACAGGAACCCCGGTGTCCCCTCTGTGGTCAAATTCCACCCCTTCACACCATGTGTGGCCGTGGCAGACAAGGACAGCATCTGGTAGGCACTGCCACTGCAGACCTCCTTCCTGGGGAGCCGGCACCACGGTGCTGTAGATCCACATCCCTTTCCCATCATCACCACTCTTGCTCACAATCTAGACAGCTGTCCCTTCTCCCCTCCCTCTCTGATGCCCGGCCCGCCCTTGCCTCTTTCTGGCCAAAGGACAGTTGAAAGTTCTGAACGTAGGTCACCACAGGGCCAGGAGCTTCCAAACCACATCTGTAATAGAGAGGCTGGGGCGGGGGGGTCTCCCTGATTACCTCCTCTGCAGATGCAGTGTGCAACCAAAAATCAGTGACCAGAAGATACCCGGTGTCCCAAAGAGAAGCCCAAATTTAAACTAGAAAAACTCTCACCCGTGTGTGGCAGACAGAATACCTGCTTGTGGGGGAGGAGGGTGAAGGGACGCCTATAGCTTAGAAAATGCCTGCGCTCCCCCCCCCCCAATTATGGTAGAATTTACCTCTTCATCACATTTAAGGACACTATCGGGGCGTTAAGCACATTCACAGTGTTACATGAATTGAACTCAGGAGCACTCTGCCAGTGAGCTGCATCCCCAGCACTTTTTAATTTTTTATTTTGAAATAGGGTCTTGCTAAGTTGCCCAGGCTAGCCTCAAACTTGCAATCGCCCTGCCTCAGCCTTCTGACTAGCTGGGATTACAGGTGTGTGCCACCATGCCCAGCTCAGAACTTTTTCACCTTCCCAGACTAAAACTCTGCTGCCCGCATTAGGCAGTCACTTCTCATCCTCCCTTCCCAGCCCCTGACAACCCCCACTCTACTTCCTGTCTCTGAATTTGACAACATGAAGGACCTTGCCTGAGTGAAATCGTACAGTATTTGCCCTTCCTTGTCTGGCTGCTTTCACTTAGCCTAGTGTTGTCCGAGCTCGTCCATGCTGTGGCATGTGTCAGAATTCCATTTCTTTTGAAGGCTGAGTCATATTCCGTCCTCAGATGGACCACGTTTTGTTCCCACAGTCATCTGTCAGTGGACCCTCGGGTTGTTGGCTATGGTGAATAGTGCTGCTGTGAACGTGGGTATATAAATACCTATCTGTTAAGTCTCTGCTCCCAGTTCTCCTGGACGTAGACCCAGAGGTGGTGACTGGTCTGTGAGGAACTGCAGTGCTGTTTTCCACGGTGGCCGCCTCTTGCACGTTCCCCCCAGCAGAGCACAGGGGCTACGGTTACTCCACATCCTCACCCATGCTTGTTGTTTTCTGTCTTCTGATAGTAGCCATGCTGTGGGTGTGAGGTGGGGGTCTCACTGTAGCTGGGGTTTGGATTTCCTTAATGACTAGTCTTATTCCTCTTATTCCCCCAAGTTTTTGGGACTGGGAGAAAGGGGAGAAGCTGGATTACTTCCACAACGGAAACCCACGGTACACCAGGGTCACTGCCATGGAGTACCTGAACGGCCAGGACTGCTCCCTGCTGCTCACCGCCACAGGTGAGTGGGCCTGGGCAGCTGGACCTGCACCTGGGCGCACGGTAGGGCCGGACAGGTGTGACGTCCTGAGGCTCATGAAACCCATGGGTTTAGTTTGTCACCTTGAAGAGGGCGCTGCTCACGATGAGGGCCGCAGCTGTTCAGAAGCAGGGCTTGTGAGAGACAGGGTGTGGACACAGGCAGGAACACAGCAGTGACTGAGACGTGTCTTCCGGCTCTGGTCCCCAGCCCGTCCATCCGGGAAATGCCCTGTGAGCCTCTGTCCTTTTCATAGGAGACCCAGGTGGCCACAAGTGACACCCAGAAATGTGGGAGGACACCATGGCCTGCACAGCCTGTGGTCACCATCTGGTTCCCGTGTGTCCCTGCTTCCTTTGCAGGCCGGGTGCCTCCTGCCTGAAGGACAAGCTGTCAGGCATGTCCCAGCATGGAGTGGACCTCGTTCTGGATGATTTTCATGATTTTTTTCCCGTTGCTCTGAGACATCTTCATTTCATGCTCACACTGGGTGAAGCGGTAGTTTTCCAAGTCACTTACTCTGGGCAGCAGTTGTTTTCCTTCAGCACTTTAAAACCACGCTTCTTGGGCCAGGGATTTAGCTCAGTGATTCTGCCGCCTGCCTAGCAAGCACAAGGTACCGAGTTCGATCCCCAGTGCCAAAAAAATAAAAAATAAGGGGCCGGGGAGTTAACTCAGTGGTTCTGCCACCTGTCTCTCAAGCACAAGGACCTGAGTTCAATCCCCGGTACCAAATAAATAAAAAATAAAACCATGGTTCTGTGGATGGCCCCCTGCCCACAAGAAGCACCAGTAGTAGAACTGCACAGGTAGAAAAGCCTAGCAGGGTGGCAGTGAGTCAGGGGAGGTGTCCCGTCACCCACCCTGGGCCCTCTGTCCTGTCTTTGTTCTGTCCTTGACTTAGGCATCTGAGCCACCAATCTGTGATTGTTACTGACAGCATGACTCTACCTTCTCCCTCCCTCCCTTTCTTTCTTTTTCTTTGTGGTACTGGTGACCGAAACCAGGGCCTTACACTGAGCTGTATCCTCAGCCTTTTTTTTGTTTTGAGACAAGTTCTAGCCAAGTCACTAAGTTGCCCAGGCTGGATTGAACTCCAGAACCTCCTGCCTCAGCCTCCCAGAGTGCTGGGATTACATGTGTATACCCCACTACTGGCCCTGGCTCCTCCCTCAAAGCATTGGCTCCCTATTCCCAGCATCACTATGAGGAATGGGAGCCACACCTTCCACGTAGTGCACCTCCAGCCCAAGTAGGGTAAAAGCTGTCCTCCACACTGGGCACTGGGCAGCTGAGAGGACACCATGTGCAGCAGGGAGGGACCAGTGAGACGGAGCCGGGTTAGGACAGGTCAGACATGAGCACCTTTGAGCACCAAGGGCTGGGGGCATTGGAGAGGGGCCTCAGAAGGGTCTGGTTCCTGGCAGGGATGCTCACCGCCAGGTGGACATCAGAGAGCAGAGAGCTCAGTGGGGTAAAGGCCCAGCTTCAGCTCAGCTCAGGTCAGTGGGGTCAGAGTGGGCTCCTGGGCACAGAGATTCATACCACACACAGACCCTGCGTCCCTGCCCAGGTGCCAGAGGACGTGTGTGAGCCGTACAGAGCAGGGAGGAGGGCACCCTTCCTGAAGCACAGTCTGGAGACTCCCTCAGACACTCAGACTGATGGTGTGCAGGGCACAAGAGTGAAGCCCCTGAACCTCGTGTCCTCTGTAGAGACGACCCCAAGATGAGAACCGAGTGACTAGGAGACCAGGGAGACAAAGGCCTGGCCAGGTCTTCAGCTCCGACCACGCCCCTCACCACAGGGAGGGAGGGAGGCCCAGTCCTGAGAGCTCAGGGCAAGAGGAGCTGCCCCGCTGGCTAACGTCAAGCTCTGCAGCCTGCAGAGGCCCCAGAGGTCACAGGTCTCCTCTGGCTTGGGTGCTGGTTTCCTGTTCCCCAGATGTGGATCTGCAGACAAAGTGGTGGAGATGGACACGGAGAGCTCTGTGCTGCATTTTGGGGGTTGCGCCTGAGGCATAGGCCTGGGCATGACCTCCAGGGCAGGGTCTGACCCCTGTGCCAAGCCAGACCAGGCCAGCACAGGGCACAGGGCCATGTCCCTCCCTCTCTCTTCCTCAGATGATGGTGCCATCAGGGTCTGGAAGAATTTTGCTGACTTGGAAAAGAACCCAGAGATGGTAACTGCATGGCAGGGGCTCTCAGACATGCTGCCAACAACACGAGGTGGGTCCGTGGCTCCTGGAGAAGGAGGTGCAGAATGAGTACCAGGACCCCCGTTTTCCCTAATCCAGGAGATGCAGTTCCAGTGCCTCCGGGCCTGTTCCCTGTCACTTCAGAATCCTTAAAAGCATCACCCAGCAGCCTCCCCTGCCAGCCACGAGAGTACGTAAACCTCCGGGATCTGAGTGCCCTGCCGAGCCTCCGGCGTGGCCCTGGGTTGGAGGCAGTGCCCATGGGCAGGGCTGTCCTCAGGCACTGGAGAGCATTGTCACTGGCTGGACCTGTCATGTGCTCCTTGTGCCTATTTGCACGCCCTGGGGAGTGGTAACCTGCACCGGGCAGAGGAGGCCAGTGGGCTGGGTGGCTTTCCATGTCCCTGTGCCACTCCACAGCTTAAGAGGAGGGAGGTGCCCGCAGCCCTTCAGGAAGGCCTCTGCAGGAGTCCAGAGGGCCAGTGTGTCAGTCAGGCCTTTGGGTTCTGGGTTCCCAGAGCCTCCCCAGGCCTAGGGCATTTGCACCATGAGGCCGTCACCCTCCAGCCTAACTCCCACGCCCTGCTGACACTAGGTGAAGAGTAGCGGTGGCCCCGCAGGTGCCTCTCTGCACCAGTGAGTTGGGTCTTAGTCTTCATCCTGCTGGACCTGGCCTTCTTCCCCTCCAGTCAGCTGTCCCTGTGAGGCCTGCCCTGGACCTCATGGTTCCATCTCTGCCCTACCATTCTGGAGAAAGGCCGACCCTGGGCTGGTCCCTTCCAGCCCCTGCTGTACTCTATCTAGAGCCCGGAAGCCTCCCTGGCCACGCCCCACCCCCAGGCTTCTTGTTCTGCCTCTGAGCAGCAGCTGAGGCTGACTTCTGAATCTGGGCCCAGAGATTCGGCCCGGCAGAGGCACTGTCCTCTGCTGCTCTGGCCAGTAGCCCTGGCTCTGTTCCGCAGCTATCCAGGCTCTCCAGGCCCCTCTCAGAGTTTGTCTGTGTGGACTGTGTGCATGTCTAGCTGCAGACCCCTGACTGCACCTTCTCCCAGCCAGGGGCCCCTTTCACCTGACCACGGGAACTTCAGCACAGTCACGGAAGAGGAAGCACTGGAAGTTCTGACGTCTTCCGGGGCAGCACCTCCAGTTTCCCATATAGAGAGACACATTTCTTTACCCAAGAACACTGATAGTTGGCTGTTTACATTTGCCTGGCAGGTGTCCACCTCATCCCGCAGCTGGGCATCCTCTGGCTGAGGCAGCCATGGTGCTAGTCCAGAAGTCACTTTTTCTCCTTTTCCCTGTCTATGCCAGTTATTCTTGTATCCTAGTTTGTTTTAATCTTGCTTAATTTTGCTTTGTCTCATCAACTTACCTTGGCGTCAGAGCCATAGCCTGGTTTCCTGGATCTGGCCAGGAAGGTCTGTTTGTGCCTAACTACATCTGTAGGCCTGAGTGTTTGTGAGGCCGGAGGAGGTTAGGGCCAGAGCTTTTCTTACTTGTTCCACCCCTTGTGTTGTCCCCTCCTTGTGTCACCTAACAAACACTAACATAACATCAGCCTGTGAGCATGCGGGTTTCACTGGGCGAATCAGTTGCCTCTGGAAGCCCCCGAGAAGCGGGATTCCGGATGCTTCCTTGAAACCAAGGGGCTGTGGTTACCCCCCGGGCTCCTCATTCCCAAAGGCAGATGTGGAGCCTGAGTCTCCAGCCCCCTTTCTCCTCCCCGTCCTGCTGCCTTGTCTCCTGGTGGCCAAGGAGGCTCTGAGTCACCTCACACTGGCCTAGGAACAAGGGATGACCCAGGGATAAGCCTTTTAGAGCATGGATGTCACTGAAGCTGCCTCATAGGCTCCTGGCATGGTGCGCTCCAAAGTGAGCCTCACCCACAGGACCTGCCCAAGGAAGATGGTCCAGAATAAAATTTGTTCCCCATCTAAGCTTTCAAAAAAGATCCTTTTTCAGAATTCTATGCAAAGTCTCTTGAAGCATCTGTTGCCATAGAAACATGGCATATAAGTTTGGTATCTCAGCTGCCCGCAGATACACAGTGTCAAAGGCAGGCTAACAAGATCCTGAGAACTAAAACTAGGTCTTTCTCTGGTCGTACTGTTGAGGCAAGTTATAAGAGTGGCGCCTTGCTTATCTGGCACAGATGTAGTTCTGGATCTGATTTGTAGAATCTGCGTTTTACAGGGGGACCGCTTTCCAGTGGGCACCCTCTTGTCCTAGCCTCTCTTTCAATGGCCCCTTAGTGTTGTCCTAGAGTCACAGCTGGCTTAGCACAAGCCTCGGGTGCTGTGTGATGTCAGATGTATAGGAATGGAGGTGGGCCATGTCCCATGGCCCTTCTGGGCTCACATCTTAGTACCGTAGAGAACTGTTACATTAAAAGTTCAAAGGAAAGAAAGATGGTTAAGAAAACTCAAATTGACCTCTCTCCATCTCTGTAAGTTTTTAAGGAGAGTCTTAAATCTCCAATCTCCAGACCAAAAAAAAACCAAGCAAAATTAGGGGCCGGGGATTTAGCTCAGTGGTTTCGCCGACTGCTGTGCAAGCACAAGGACCTGAGTTCGATCCCCGGTTCCAATAAATAAATAAATTTTAAAAATGTAAAAAAACAAGCAAAACTGACAGGAGATGAGGTGGGAAAGATGTGGCAAAACTACTTCTCTGAGATCCTAAAGGAAGGCCAAAGGACCTCCTCCGTCTATGGGGTCTGGGACGGGCAGAAGCTGGCAGATTGGCTGCATCCTTCCCGCAGTTGGTCGCACCCTTAGATATCCAGAGCTGGTGCTGGGTAGCAGTGGGCCCTCTGGGCCAAGTGTTTGGGCCATGAGCAGATCAAAACCATCCTTGAATGCTGCTATCAGAGCCAGGCATATTTCCATTCCCAGGGTGCAGCTGGAGGCAGCCAGGATGACACAGCAGCAGGGACTATCCCACCACAGTGGCCCCGGAGAGCAGTGAGAAGGACCTCACCTCAGCATGTGAATGCTGACATGCATCTGGGGCTTTGGCCAGCTGTTAATAGTCATTGGTGGGACAGCCAGGAAGCAAGCAGAGGGAGGACCCCAAGGCACAGACACTGTGCCCAGGCAGGAACCCCATGAGTTCAAGGCCACACTCCCAGGGCCCTCAGGTGGGGGTGCTATAGGCCTTGAAGCTTGTTCTGGACTGGCTGCCGGCCTGGGGCTGTCACCAGTCTTGTGGAGACAGAGACTGTGAACAAGCTCTGAAGCTTTATGCTCTGAGGAGGAAAAAGAGGACGTTCCACTGCCCAGCACTGGACAGCCTCTCCTTCCTCGTCCTGAGGTTGAGACGATACAGATGGTCAGAAGGGTTCAGGGAGGCCAGCTGCACCTCGGCCCCATGCAGAAGCCGGGCAGGGGAGAGGCACTGCCTTCCGTCCTGATAGTGATACTGATCTGAGGTCCTCTTCTGGGACAGCAAACCCAGGTCAGATAAAGCTAAGGAAATGCCCTGGAAGTTCCCAGAGTGTGCCCTCATTCTTCGTTGTCAACCAAAACCTGCCAAAGAGGCCGCACAGCAGAGCAGCATGGCAGGAACAGTCTTCAGAGCACACCTGGCAGGGAAGACTCCAGTTGGTTACATCCACCTGAAAAACCTGGGTGCTCGCTGTCCTGGTCTGGGGCTGGGCTACCCCAGTGACCCCTCTTCTGGGGTCTGACGTGGCTTCCCTGGGAGAGGCATGAACTCCCACCTGGCGTCCTGGCCCCCCACCCAGCCCACATTCTCTCCCAAGAGCAATGTTAGGGACTAAGTGTGTCCCCCAGATTCATTTGTTGAAGCCCTAACTGTCAATGAAATGGAGATAGGGCCTTTGGGAGGTGATGGAGGACTGCGAACTAAGAACCACATAGTCTATAGTATTTCATTATGGCAGCCAGGGCTAAGGGCAGGCAGAAGCCCAGCGCTCCCACATGACTTGAAGCTCCCATGCCCTGGTGAGCAGGGTGTCAGAGACTCTGTCTCAGGGTGCCGGGTCTTGTCATTGGCGGCCTGAGTATTGCTGCCACTGTCTGTAGGTCAGCCCTGGTCCTGGAGAGGCCTTGGCATTGCTGAGAAATCTGGAACAACTGCCCCCTGTCCAGCAAGGTGGCATGGGCTGTCGGCCTGCGTGGAGCCAGCAGTCGCTCTGCAGAACAGCCCCAGGGAAGCTCGCCAAGGCTGGCACTCAGCCGCACCTCAGGGCTCCTCCGACAGTGTGGTGGTGTACCTCCTGCAGCACCTTTCCCTGGGGACGACTTGGCGAGGGAAAGGCCAGTGGGCACTCGTCGGTTATTGGGGTTCCTTGCTTCCCTCCGCAGACACCAGACACCAGTCCCAACAGACAGCAGGAGGCCCCCTCCTGTTCCAGAACACAGGCCACTCTCCTGGACCTCGGCCTGTGTCCTCACGGGTGGCCACACAGGCCAGAATCCCACAGCCAGAGCTGCGTGGACACTTCTCTTTTCTTTTTCTCTTCCCTGTCTGTTTTCTTTGTTGAGATGGCCGCACCCAGAGAGACTAGACGTGTGCAGCATGCATGGCCGGCAGTTCCCTTCCTAGGGCCTTCCTCCTGCTGCACACAGGGCACATGAGGACATTGCTGGGTGTCATGCGGTTTCCCACGTTGGTGAATAGCTAAGATGATTGTGCACTGAAATGCAATGTGGTCTAAATGGGTCGGTTTGTATTGGGTTGAATAAATCCTTGAACTCTAAAGGAAAAAAGCAAGTTGCTAGAAAATAGACTCCATTTTGCAATTGAAGAATGTTTTGAAGAGTGGGAGGCACATCTTGCAGTTCGTGGATATGCAGACCAAGAAGCTCAGGCTCCCAGGGAGACATCCACTGCCCACGGACACTCATCTGGGACAGAGGGCACCGTGATCCCATGTCCAACACTGTACTTTCTGAGCTGGGGAGTAGCTCAGTGATGGAGCCCTTGCCTAGCATGCACAAAGCCCTGGGTTCCATCCCCTATCCCCAGAAAAAAAATTTAAATAAATAAAATAGTACCTTTTTTCTTAAAAAAAAAAAAAAAAAGACAAAATTTTAGCAACTATTAGGTCTTGGGCACAAGCATTTATTTCTATTGTATTCTTTCATGTGTCTTAAATTATGTATACCTGTGTTTAAGTCTTGCCAGCTGAGAGTGTAGCTCAGTGGTAGTGCCCTTGGCCTGGCATGTGTAAGGCCTTGATTTCAATCCCTGGCAGCTCCAAAAGATAGTTTTAAATAGAGGCCACTATGTGAGGGTGCAGGTCCCTCCTGACCAGTCCCAAGGCACTCTTGCTTCCTTTATTGTTTTTTTGAGATGGAATCTTCTGTGTTTCCCAGACTGGCCTCAAATTCCTGGCCTGAAACAATCTTCCAGCTTCAGCCTCTCAAATAGCTGTGAGTACAGGTGTGCACCATTGTGCCCTGCCAGCCCTTGTTTCATTCTTTCTGTCCACCAATGTCCCCAACCTTGTATTCTGTCCCCTCCCCATAATGCTGGCCAGTCCAGCTGCCCCATGGCATGTGCAGAGTTCCTTCTGTTTCTTAAAGAGCTGGGGTCCTGGGGCTTTGATGTGACCAGGAAAGGGCTCATCTTCGTGCCATCATGGCCATTCTGAGGTCACCAGACCTGCAAGTTGTGCCCCAGCATTCCAGAAAGCACGTCTTGGACAAAGGACTTTCGATCTTACTGCTCCTTTGGCAGATGCCTTCGGGTAGCCAGGTTCTGAGGCGGCTCAGAATTCAGGGTATACTGAGAGCCCAGCCCAAGCTTACGTGGGGCACATGGACCCACCTGATGGGCTAAGGGCTGGCGGATATTCCTTGGAGTCGCTGGGTGAGTGGCTGCCCAGAAAACCCCCAGCCTGCCTGGTGCCTGCATGCTCCCCATCTCCTGCTGTGTCTCCCTCCCCAGGAGCTGGGATGGTGGTAGACTGGGAGCAAGAAACTGGCCTGCTCATGAGCTCAGGGGATGTACGGATCGTCCGGATCTGGGACACAGACCGTGAGACGAAGGTGCAGGTGAGCATGGTGGGCTGGCAAGCACTTGGTCACTGTGCAGGTCCCCTCACCGCATCCTACCAGACTGTCCTGCTCCCCTCCGCAAAAGAAATACCGCCCTCACGTAGACAGCCATACCATGGTCTCTGGGCCAAGGGCAGTTCGCAATTGCCTCTTGCTATCCTGGGGAGGCAGGTGGAGAAGGAGGTGCCGTGCTGTTTGGAGAGAACCTGGCTCCACACCCTTGGAACTAATTACCTCTGGATATGCATTAATCATGGCACTTTGACCTTGCACTGCAGTATAATTAAGCCTATGCTAATCCTAATTATTTTCAAATATTGTTGTATCTGCAAATTAGGGAATATCAGAAATCAGTAGGGTGAAATATTTTAAATTAGAATGATTAATTTTTCACTGTGAGCTTCTTAAAGCATCCTTTTGTGTGTGTGTGTGTGTGTGTCTGTGTGTGCTGGGGATTGAACCCAGGGCCTCTGCATGCTAAGCACGTATTCTACCACTAAGCCGCCCCCCGCCCCCAGAGCATCTTTTATCTTCAGTTTTAATAAAGAGTGAAGAGTGTACTGGTTATCCCCAAGATCCCTGGAGAGGCAGTAGAAGGCCATGCAGCTGCCCAGTAGAATCCAGCTGGCCCCACCTCCTTTGGAGGAGAGGCAGGAGCACAGACACTGCAAGGGCAGTGCCTGAGGGGTGTTAGTCCAAAGGCATCCTTCGTCCTGATTCCCAAAGAGTTGCAGACCAACCCAGCCTCTCCCAACCTGCCCACCTGAGGCCCGGGCTGTGTGCAGAGCTGTGGACCTGACAGGAATGAGCTGTGCCCTGCACTGGGGGACACAGGGCCTGGTTACCCACAGCTGTCAGAAGCTGCGTGGCTCCTCTGGGCAGCTCTGCAGCCAAGGTCACTGCATCCCCTCTGTCCTGTCTGGAAATAAGTCTTGATGAAGCTTCCCACTTCCTGACAGTACAGTGTGACAATCCAGATGTTCAGGGCTCGTTTCCCAAGCGAGTATGCAGACCTCAGCTGTGGCACCCAGAAAGTGGCCTCCTCCCTGCCTGACCTGCAGGCTTGTGTCCACACCTCTGAGCAGCTGCTCTTATAGAGTCACCATTGAGACTAAGGGTGCCCTTAGGTGTTGATTGCATCCGGGTGTGAGGGGCGCGTTGGTCAGAGGCTCCTCCTCTCACCTGGATGGGCTGTTTTCCTTAGGAGTGGATTTCCTCTCAGGTGTCCCCAATATAATCGGAAAAGCACTTTTTCCCTCCTGAGACCCATTTTTTGTCTCCCACCCTCTCCTGCCAGGTGTTCATCACTGCTCTTGCCCTTCTGCAGCATTTATGGGCACTGAGGGGAACAGGGGAGCTGCTGCTCAGCTCTTCCCCCAGCTAATTAGGAGATTTGAGAGGGAGCTGATGAGGGCTCCTCCTTGCCAAAATATGCTTCATCATTCTTTTCAGGAAGGAGGGAGGCGTTGTTGGAAAGTTTAATTGGCACCAAGACCTGGGTGTCTCAGAGGTGCCTGCAGGCCCCCACTAGCTCTTGGGCCCCGCCTGGCCCAGCCGGTGGGCAGAGGTGCAGGCCAGATGCTCAGACAGATCGGAGCTGGACTGAGTCCTGGGGAGCCCCTTGCAGTGAAGACAGAGGCAGGAGGGAGATGGATGCGTCCAAGCGGGTGCTGCCGGCAACAGCACACCTCATCTTCACTGCTCTTTGTTTGGGCCTAGGATATCCCCACGGGTGCAGACAGCTGTGTGACAAGTCTGTCCTGTGATTCCCACCGCTCACTCATTGTGGCTGGCCTCGGCGATGGCTCTATCCGTGTCTATGACAGGAGGATGGCACTCAGTGAATGGTAGGGTACCTGCCTCCCTCCCCGGTGCCGTATGGGGTTAGAGAGATGTGACACCTCCCCTAGGAGCCCGTGGTGGAGCACAAGGCCAGCTGGGAGCTCCAGCCAGCAATGTCCCACACAGGCCAGTACCACGGCCCAGGGAGGGGGACAGGACATGGATAGGCCTAGTGGCTTCTGCTTGTGGCCTGGAGTGGGGCTAGCAAGGCAGGATCTGGGCAGGACACCTGCCATCAGTTCTAGGGCCTCAGCAGAACATCACATCTGCTCCTGGGCATGTTATGAGCACGTGTGGGCACTGCAGCTGGAGCCAGTGCCTCTTTGCCAAAGGGCTGGACTGAGGCCAAGGCGTAGCAGTGGGTGAGGACAGTACTGGCCCCACCTCCTGGAAATCGACCTGGTGCAGACCGTGGTCAGGGGAGCAGCCACATGGCAGCAGCCAGGGGGAGCTGAAGAAGCCTCAGGAAGAATTGAGCTGGGACATCACTTTAGGCAGTGGTGGGGCTGGGGATAGGAGGGAGTGTGGACCTGAGGCCTGGCCAGCCAGGGCAGCTGCAGGGCCATGCGCCCTCTTCCCCAGAGCAGCCTTGGTCGGGGGCCCCCTCCATGGGAGTGTCTGTCCCTTTTTGGACTGTGGGAACACTGCCCTCCAAAAGCAGCTGTTGTGGGGGCACAACCCCTGGCAGGTACCTCAAAAGGGTGAGTTTTACTCAGTGCCCGTTGTCTCTCCGCCCCCTCCCCTCTTCAGAAAAAGCCACCTGCCCAGTAAGTAAACTTGGAATTGACCCCACAAAGTCTGGAGAGTCCTGGGGTGGCCCTGAGGGCCAGGGAGGGACTCCAGGGGTCAGCATGGCCCTGGGCCCTAACCCACTGGGAAGGATCCTTCTCCCACCAGGGCCTGGTGGCCAGGACCGAGGAGGCAATGCCTGCCTTCACTGTCCACTGCCCCAAGGACGCATCTCTTCCCTGATCACCACTGGGGCTAGGGGCTTCTACTTGTACCAGAGTCCTCCTACAGAGGCTTCCGGAGCTGACCAGCAGTGACAGGGCTGCCTGCTCACTGAGCTGCTCTAGGACTAATGGTAACCTCCTCGTGTGGGTCCGACAGTAGCTCAGGGGTCAGCCAAGTGCCAGGCCAGGGGAGCACAAGAGTGCCCACTGGAGCAGGACTGGGAAAGCCATGTGTGGGAAATGGACAGTGCCAGGCAGGCAGCCTAGGTGCTCTCAACAAACCCCATTTTCCCTGCCTCAACCTAAGGCCACGTGTGTGGCCTCCGAGACCTGTCACCGTCGTGTGTGGTGGAGCTACTCTGTGACACCAGCCCAGCTGTCATGCCGCTCCATGACTTGGGAAGGAGTTACCCAGCCTCCTGCCCAGTCCTGCCCTGATGGTGCCCTCCTCCCCTGCAGCCGCGTCATGACCTACCGGGAGCACACAGCCTGGGTGGTGAAGGCCTACCTGCAGAAGCACCCCGAGGGCCACATTGTGAGCGTGAGGTAACCACGGCGCGTGCAGCGTTTGACTGTAAAAATGTTATTTTCCCTCCATTTAAACGTGTCCTTGGTATTTAAACAGCTGGGGAGTGCTGGTATTTGAGGGCAGTAATTGACTCCTGCTCAGGGACTGGCCAGAAAGGTCAGGGTGTGGGGCTAGGGGCAGCACAGATGCCTGCCGGCGGTAAGCAGAGGAAGCCACAGGCAGATGTGTGGGGGTGGGGCGCAGGGCCACGGGCAGCTGCAGGCACAGTGCCCAGCAGGATTGTTGCGCTGTCGAGTTGAGCTGTTTTCTGCACATAAATTCAGTTCTGCTGCTCGGTAAATACTGTGCTGAGAGCAGAGAATATTTATTTGCCTGTTAACAGGACAGCAAAATGTAATTTATGGTCACAAAGCCACCATCTCTTCAAAGACATGCCCTTTTCTCCTTTGTTTGTGATATAAAAACAAAACGTAACTCTTGGGATGGACACCTGTGGGAAGTAGACGCAGGGGTCGAGGGCCTCCCTCGCCCCTCTTACACCCCGTGGGCCCCAGCTGCAGTCACATCTCTGACCGGAAATGATGCATCCCTCCCCCTGTGCCTTTGCCACGGCCCCTCTCCAGTCCTGCCGGGGCATTCACCCCCATCCCGCACTGGCCTTCTGGGCCTGGGAACTTGGCAGGGCCCTGGCTGCCAGGCCCAGTGGGAGGGGTCTGTGGGCAGCACTGGTGTCCAGGTGGGCGTGGTCTTCAGCAGTATGTGTGCAAATGGGCATCAGGCCCCACATGCTCAATGCCACAGTCTCCTCAACCAGGCCCCCAGGGGCTCTAGGGGTGTCCCCAGGGCCCTGCCCGTAGGCGTCACTGTGGCCCTCTCCTGCAGTGTCAATGGGGATGTTCGCTTCTTCGATCCCCGGATGCCCGAGTCCGTGAACGTGCTGCAGATCGTGAAGGGGCTGACGGCCCTGGACATCCACCCGCAGGCAAACCTGATCGCTTGGTAGGTCCCCCGTCTCCCTGCCAGGAGAGAGCCCATGGGCAGCATGGTGGGGTTCTCTGCCCTCGTGCCTTCTGCAGGACTGAACTTGTACCATTGTGCAACAAAAACAGAAGAGCCCTTCCCTGCCACAGCCCCGCCCAGAGCAAACTCTCGGGCCCTGTGAGGCCTTTCTGGGGCAGAGCCAAGTCCTCACGTGAGGACAGCAAGAGACAAGTTGCCGTTCCCTGACTCGGCCCCACCTGCCGCCAGCCCACTCCCCTCCTTGTCCCAGTCCCTTCGGTCTTTAGCCTCTGGGCCCACCCTGTAAGGAGGCAGGAGATGACACCCTGAGTTTCTCTACTTCCTACAGTGGCTCCATGAACCAGTTCACTGCCATCTACAACGGAAATGGGGAGCTGATCAATAACATCAAGTACTACGATGGCTTCATGGGCCAGCGAGTCGGGGCCATCAGCTGCTTGGCCTTCCACCCACACTGGGTCTGTGCCACAGGCCAGGGTTGGGCAGAGGTGGGGTGTGGACAAGTGGGTGCCTTTAGCAGTCGGGGGCCATCTGCGTGATGCCTGTACCCTGGGCCCCTCTCTCCCTGTCTCAGGAAAGAGCAGACAGCACAGAAGACAGCACAGGAGTGTCCTTGGGTCCCCGAACCCCACCTTTGGGGAAGGCCCAGGCAGCTAAGGCTCCGGCTCCGCATGAGGCAACCACAGATCAGTGCGCAGGAGCACCGGGCCTAACTTAGTCGAGCCATGTGTTGTGGGCTATTGTGTGATTAAATTAGGATGCTGCCCGCCTGCCTTCTTGCAGCATGGGAGCCTGCGTGCAGCTCTCAGCTGAAGCGCATTTGATTCCCAGAGCTGTCCCAGTGGGGCCATCGTGAAGAGAAGCTGCAGGGAAGTGTGGGTCCTATGCAGATGGCCCACTGCGGAGGGTGGCAATGCATCATCCCTGCTAGAAACTGGCGGCTTCGGGGCCTGTCCTGAGTGCAGCGGGAGGGCTCCCTCGTGCCCCCCCAGGCTGTGACCCTGCACACACCCTCCGTGGCCCCACCTAGCCGCCCGACTCATGTCTCCCTCTCTCCCCTCACAGCCTCATCTGGCCGTGGGAAGCAACGACTACTACATCTCCGTGTACTCAGTGGAGAAGCGGGCCAGATAGCAGCACCCCAGGGCTCCCGCTGGGCCGCGGCCATCGTGTACATAGTGAATCCACTCACTCCAGGCGAAGTGCCCCACGCCGCCGGCTCCTGCCTCAGCTGCTGCCGATTGAGGAGGGACCTTACGCTTTCTTTCCTTCTGTCTTCACTGTAATATCCCAAAGTCCAGGTTGGGGAGGGCCTTGGCTTGACATCTCTTCTTGCCCCGAACCAGCACCCAGGCACCTGGGACTCACGGCGTGTCGCAGCATATCTGAGTCTCCTCGGGCCTGTTTTTCTTCTGAGGTTTTTCAAGAGGGACACATTTGTTTTATTTTCCATGTGACCAGAGCATTAGCTACAGAAAAGATCGAGCACTGGTGGAGAAGCCTCCTGAGGTCCTGTGGGCCTAGGGCAGCCGGCCGGCCCTCTCTCCTCCCAGCCCCTCAGAGTGGCTGGGTGCTGCTGGAGATTGACAAGGAGGGGAGGGAAAGGCAGGGGCAGCCGGTGAGTGTGGGAGGAAGCAGCCGTTTGGCCTCAGAAGCCTCCCTGTCCCTGGCTGCGTCTGAGTCTGAGGAAAGGCCTGCACAGCCAGGCCCTCGGCTCAGCTTCTAGACCGGGCCTCCACGTGGAGTGCTCGCAGGGTAGGGCTCTGCCTGGCTGGACAGGTGAGGTGGGGCCCAGTTCACCAGCGCACCTGGAGTGCGGCTGCTCCACGGAGCAGTCCCCTGCCTGTGCCTGCACACAGGCACGTGTGCGCATGGGCACACTCGTCATCCACACAGATGCAGAGGCACCGTGAGGCCGCAGGGTCTGTGGGTAGCGACAGCCCCCACGCTGTGTGACCAAGGCTCACCTTCTGCAGCCTGCAATGCAGAAGTTCCTTGGTGGCTCCGTGCATGTGTCTGGCACGTGTGTGGACGTGTGACCACATGTGCAAGTTGGGGAAGCCGTGTGGACCATTTAGTCCTGAGAAGGAGCACAGGGAATTGCTGAGCAATTGCACACAAACAACACAACTGCAGGGATGGTGTTTCCAAAAGGATTTTTTCCATTTTCCTTGGGAATCAGGATCTTCCAGAGATGGAGGAGTGAGGCGGCACTATTGATTGTGCCAATAGGCGGCCAGGAACAGTGGGATCAGGAATCAGAGCCCAGACAGAGGACCAGGTCCCTTGTGCAGTGGATGATGGTTCTGTTTTGGCCAAAAGCATCTTCTGGGTACTTGGAGTCCTGCAGGCAGCACTGGGCAGACCTAGACGAGAGAGACCAGAGAGAGACCAGACAGCCTCTGCTGCCCCAGGGCGTGTGCACTCCCGCAGGAGAAGGCTCTGGATAAAGACTCTTCCCCTGTTGTGGGCGAACAAGCAGCCTGGAGTCGAGAAAGTCCTGGAGGGTCCTGACCAGTTCCTCCAGCTCTGCGGGTGCTCCAGTGGGTGACACACTGGAAACTTCCGGGGGCCGCCACCCACAGACGCCGAGCAGCCGGCCCTCCATGGCTGCCTCAGGGTGGGTCAGCTTCACTCCAGCCTAACTTGCATTTCTCTTTGTTTTGAGACAAACCACCACTGGTAAAGTACAGATGGCTCTGGGGGTGACAAGGCCCTCCCTCCTCAAGCCCCAGAGCCCCTGGCATGGTGTGTGTGTCCGCAAGCTGCCGCGTGGGCTGGTTCTTCACAGGCTGGATGCGAAAATTCAATCATGAAGTTAACCGAGGCTCAAGAGAGCAGTGACCTAGAGTTCCTTTATCTCTATTTATTTTACCAAAATGAGAATTGAAAACAACTTTGAGAAAACATGGAATTGTAAAATGTGAAACTATAAGCGATGGCAAACAATAAACTGTTGAAAAATAAAGAAGTGCAGGAGTGGCTGGCTGTGTGGTGTTGTCCTTTAGGCAGCCTGCCCACCCTGCTGGGGACGTGGCTGTGTGCTGCGGGTGGGAGGCCGGGGAGTTGCCTAGGTCTTCTGCAAATGTTCCGGCCACCTAGTGCGGTCCCCAAGGCATGGGCCACTCTGCATGTGGACCCCTCCACACAGGCACATGGGCCTGGCCTGTCCATGCCGAGCAGAAATCGCCGTTGGGTGACCGAGCCTCTGTGCCTGCCCTGCCAGGCACCAGTTTTGTAACTAAGACCCAAATTCGGGTGCGAGCACCCTTGGGAAGACCCAGCCTGCATGGTCTGTTTGCTCTTCCTACTTCACACCCAGTTTTTTGTGATTTTAGGGTGGCTCTCTGGGTCGGGTCAAGGTGCTGCCTGGCTACGTTGCTGTCTAGGGGAAGATGTGCTTTCGGGCCGCTCCACCTTCCAGGGCCCCTGCTCCTTGGGCTCCTCCCCTTTGAAACGAGCAACGGCCGGTGGTCTTTCTCACAACCCCTCATTCTGACGCAGACCCTCCTGCCTCCCTCTTCCACCTGGCAGGACACTGGCTGACCTGGGCCACCCAGGAAGTCCTGAGCAGTCTCCCTGTGCTGCAGGCAGCTGACCAGCACCATAACCCGCTTTGCCAGGTAACAAACATGTTCGTGTCCCCGGGGGGGCTATGGATGTCCTAGAGGCATCATGCTGCATACCATCCCTCTGTCTACCCCAGAGTCGTCCCTCCTGGCAGCGTCCATGGAGACTCAGGGTCCTCAGCCCAGGTTTCCAGGGGTCACGCAGCCATGGCTTTTGTCTTCCAGAGCTGGCTGGGTTGGTGCTGGCTATTATGTGCCAAAGATCTTCGCCCCGGCCACAAGCCCAGGGCCGTGGTGTGGTGGGCAAGGGCAGGCTGTGAGTAAGCGGTTCCCTGAGACACGTCCTCAGCTCTGAACCTTGGCTGGGAAGGTGGCGAGGAGGTGGTTGCCATAGAAACCTAGACGCCCGGCCTTGCTCAGGCAGTGCCGCAGCTCCACCTGAAGAGCAGCGATTTTCCTGTTAGCGCCGGTTTCCTGTCAGCAGGACCTGGTACAAACTGAGTTTTCACGAGAATGGGGTGGGCCTGGGGCCAGTCCAGCAGGGAGGCAAAGGCCACACTGTGCCTCTGTAGCCGCTGCCAGGCCGCACAGCCACGATGAAGGCGAGGGACTTTGTGCTGGGACAGCAGGGTGGGGACATGTCCTGAGGAGAGCCACAGAGCATCCTCGGGGCCTCCCTCACCAGGTGGGGCCTCAGACACCTGCTAGAGGGGCCATCGCTGCCTCCCATGCATCCCCCTGTCTGCGTCTCCTTCCTGGGGGGATCACTGATTCAGTCAGGGGGCTGGTCGGCAGCCCATGAGTCCCCAGAAGTGAGACAGTGCCTCCATGTCAGGCAAGTAAGGCCATGGAGAAGCCCTCCAAGGACAGATGACAGGACAAGAAAGGGGCAGGGCAGCCGGGGCGAGCGGCTAAGTGGTGTCCCCCGCCCTCAGAACAGGGCTGTGTTTGAAGACACAGCCTTTGCAGAGGCCACTCGGGCCCTGATCCAGTCTGACTGGCGTACGGATGAGAAGACAGGGAGACAGACACAGGGTCTGCAAGCCCGGGAGAGGCCTCGGGAGGACCAGCCCAGCCCACCTCACCTGGACCGTGAGGGCCAAACTCCTGTCCTGGGAGCCCGGTCAATGGTGACAGACCCCTGCGGCCTGGAGCACTGTCCACGGGTGCCTCAGCCACACCCAACTGGAGATTTGCCTTCGTCACGGCAGCTGGCCAGTGTCTCCTCATCTTCAGGTAGGGACAATGACTATGGGATTTAAGTGCTGTGAGCTTGAACAGCGCAGTGTCTGGTGGAGGCTGTGTGGTCAGCAAAGGTCTGCACGGCCATGGGGGGCTCTGAGAGCACAGCCACAGGGCTCCCGCCTGGACACCCTGTCTGTGTCTGCTTAGCTGAGGGAAAGACGAGCCCTCGGCCCCCACCACTGACCTACAGCAGCCGTGCCGCCACCATGGCCCTGGACAACTGCAGGCCCAGCTGCTATACTTGCCCACCTCCTCCCCACCATTGGCCGAACCAGAGCCCCCACCCTGCCCAGGCGGTGCCTCATCTGCCCGGCCCCTCCGGGCCCCACAGTCCCCAAACCAACAGCTGTGTACAGGAGTGGCACCAGGCTCCCATCTGCTGCCATGTGACCTGGGCACCCGCGCTCCTTCGACACGGGCCCAAGAGCCCCCACCCAAGATGAGGATGAGGAAGCACCTGGGACCGCGAGTCCACCACGGGGCACTGTGACGGCTGGGAGCCAGCCTAGGGCCACAAGGGACTCCCGGCTGGGTCTCCACCATCCTCTGGTGTGGGACAGGCGGTGGGGTGGGCTGGTGCTCTCAGGCCAGAGGTGCTGGGAAGGGTCTCAGGCTCCTGGGCTCAGGGACATGTTCACGGCAGTCATCCATATCCTCAGTGTGACACCAGGACACTCGGTGATGCTCCACAGCTGGAGCCCCTGTCCCAGGGTCAGCCCAGCCGTTTCTGTGTCTGCTGCCTCAGCACCTTCAGAGACCAAGTGCTGCCCACTGCAGGGTGAACAGAGGTGAGGTTGGGGACCCCAGGGGAGAGGGGGGCAAGGCCCCCATGGCTGAGACTCAGAGCAGGAAAAAGCAGCATCCTGAGAGGTCTCCAGCCACCCCCTGAGCTGAAGCCGGTGGGTGACCCTTTTGGTATCTGCTCATTCATCCTCAGCAGCTGGTGGCAGCCCCCAGGTGTGTCCCTTAGGACACGGCCTCAGCCCCACCTGTCTGGTGCTCCACTGCCCTCCCTGCCTGTCCCCCAGCCCTGGGTCAGGGCACACTGGGCCTAAGGGTGTCGAGAAAGGAGTTCCTGCTACCCCCAGGACCTGGTCTTCTCTGCCTGGGACTGTGCAGCTTCCTCTAAGCCTGAGGTCTCACAGTCAGCTTCCAGGGCCAGGGAAGCCACAGGCCGCTCACCACACCGGGCCCCCTCCTGGAGAGGAGAGACTTCCAGCCAGCATTGGCCTCTAAGGCCAATGCCAGCACCACTGGTCCATCCTGCCACCCAGTCTGAGTCCTGGGGGTCACCATCACATGGGCAGGTGCCATCTAGATACCAGAGGGCCACCCACCTCCAAGGTCCCCATGCAGACCCCGCCCTGATGAGACAGACGAGATGGCAGGTCTGTGGGAGGAGGTAGGGCACCTCAAGCCATCTGGCCACCCACCCCATGGACCCAGGGCAAGGGAGGTAGGTATGGAAGGCTTGGCCCAAGGGGCTCAGGGAGGGTGGGCCATGGGGGTGAGATCCACAGCCTCTGACCCAGGAAGTCAGGAGCAAGGGGCAGGGGCTTCCAACCTAGGGCTGAGGGCTCTGTGCCCCAGCAGGGTCCTGGACAAGGAGGGCCAGGCTCACTGTGCCCAGAGAGCTGTCGCCATCCCCCAACTGGCAGGCCCAGGTGAGGTCCTTCCGCCAACTCAGGCGGCCACAAGAGCCCCAACCACACACAGGACACCTGTGACCTGGAAAGGGAGCTGGTGACTCCCCCAGGTGCTACAGGGAGGGTGACAGGCCAGTGACAACCACAACCAAGGGCAAAGTGGAACTCACTCACATTGGTTTGCATGCATGCATACATTTATTTATTGTTTTTGCTATTTAACAGAATTTTTGTTTTTGGTACCAGGGATCGAACTCAGGACTTTGTGCTTGCGAGGCAGACACTGGAACCACTGAGCTAAATCCCTGGCTTTATTTAACAGGATTTGGGGGGGTGGGGGAATAAAGCAAATGATACAGCAGCATTGAACAATCTGAAAAGGGAGCAAAGAAATGAATGGCATGAGAAGGAATGAGCTAGCCGGGGCAGGAGCAGGAGTCGCCATCACGGGAGTTGACATCCGCCACGACAAAGACCGAAAGGTCTGTCGCAAGGAACCCAAGAGCCAGGACATCTCCCTGAGGCTGTTGGTCAAGCTGTCCAGGTTTCTGGCCAGAAGAACGAACTCCACCTTCAACCAGGTTGTGCTGAAGAGGTTGTTCATGAGTCTCACCAATCGGCCACCTCTGTCCCTTTCCCGAATGATCCGGAAGATGAAGCTTCCTGGCCGGGAAAATAAGACAGCTGTGGTCGTGGGAACCCTGACGGATGATGTGTGGGTTCTGGAGGTGCCCAAGCTGAAGGTTTGTGCCCTGCGTGTGAGCAGCCGGGCCCGCAGCCGCATCCTCAACGCTGGGGGTAAGATCCTCACCTTTGACCAGCTGGCCCTGGACTCCCCCAAGGGCCACGGCACCGTCCTGCTCTCTGGTCTGCGCGAGGGCTGAGAGGCGTACCGGCACTTCGGCAAGGCCCCAGGAACCCCGTGCAGCCACACCAAACCCTACGTCTGCTCCAAGGGCCGAAAGTTTGAGTGCACCAGAGGCAGACCGGCCAGCCGAGGCTGCAAGAACTAATGCAGGGGGCCGGGGATTTAGCTCAGTGGTTTTACCGCCTGCCTCGCAAGCACAAGGACCCGAGTTCAATCCCCAGTACCAAAAAAAAAAAAAAAGAACGAACTAATGCAGGATCTTGCTCTGTGAATAAAAAGATTTTGGATTAAAAAAAAAAAAATACCCGGGGCAAATTAACAAAGGAAGTAAAGATAGGCACACTGAAAACTCCCGTATTTCCCAGGTCTTATATCAACTTTTGCTCCAAAAGACACAATAGGGCTTATTTTTAGGGGATGTCTTTTTTTTTTATGTACAAAAATCTACATTTATTCAAATAAAGTCATAGCATCTTCTGGAGCATCATCATCACTCCAAACCCCAAATTCCAGCCTGAATCTCTAGCAACTCCATTTCCCGGGGAGCCACTGGCCCGGGCCCTCCTGTGCAGCCACGGGGCTCTCTTCCTGTCCACGCAGCCTGCTCCCAGTGGACCTGCCCTGCAGCTGCCAGTGATTTCATCCCATGAGTTCTTCACCCGTCACAACCTCCTGCAGGCTGGCTTCCCAAAGTTCCCATTAATCAGCGTGAACTGAAGACGTTCAGGACAGGAGGGGCAACAAAAATGACGCAGTTAAGAATGGTGGGCCACACAAAAGCGAAGAAAACCTGCAGGCACCAAAACTCAGAAAGCACTTCTTTATTTCACGCGAGTGCATTAAGTACATGCACTATGACACACGATGTATTGAGTTACGAAGATTCACATTAGACACGACCATGTCCACTGGTTATCGAGAGCCCACGTTCTTTGTGCGCTGTGTGCTTACTGCTCAGCAGTAAGTCTCGAGTTCATCTGTTTACATAAACATTTACCTTGCATCCAAAGGTGCCTGCTTGGATATTTACAAAATAAATTATATTATCATTTAAGTGTTTGTTTGTCTGTTTTTGGTACTAGGGATCGGATCAAACTCAGGACCTTGCACTTGCAAGGCAGGCAGCAGAACCACTGAGCTAAATCCCCAGTCCCATTTAAGTATTAATGTCAATGCTATTTATACTTAATTATATGTTAATATTATTTTATAATTCAGTGCATCTGTTGAGTGTGGCAGTGGACATACTAAATGCATCTATGTGATGATCTTAACTTGGGCTTATTTTCAGGGAAATACAGTACAAAACACTGCTGAAAGTTAGAAGACCAAAATAGAGGGAAAGACATCCCATGTTCATGGATCAGAAGAAGCAATACTACGGTAAGGTGGCAGTATTCCCCAAAGTAACCTAACAATCTCACATCCCTTTCAATATTCCAATGCACATTATGCAAAAACAGGAAATCCAACCCTCAAATTCATGCAGAACTACCAAGGCCTCCAACAGCCAGGACAATAGTGAAAAGGGAAGAACTGGAGGATTCGCACTTCTTTGCTACCACATGAACAACTCTCAGAAGAACCCTTGAGCAAGTGGAAGAGCTCAGACACAAGGTCACACATGGTTCAGTCTTGTTTTAGAAAGCACTCAAAACAGGTAAACCCTGGAGGCATACAGGAGCAGTGGTCACCAGGGCCTGGGGAGGCAGGGAAGGAGGGGTGACCACCCACCCAGAGGGCACAGGGGGCTTGCTGGGGTGAAAGAATGTCATGGAGGTGGAGATTGTACAACACTGTGAGTGCCGTAAACACCACGGTGTACGCTGTTAAATGGTTACCTGCATGCTCCAGGAATCTCTGCTCAATTAAAACAAATGACAGCACGGGACAGGAAGACAAGCTGCGTGCAGAGCACCCAGGCACGTCTTGGAACATCAGGGTCTGAATGCCAGTTTCACCCCACGCTGGTGCAAGTCCAGAGGGGCAGGGGTGAGGGGTGCAGTTTGAATGTGAAGCTCCTGGCTGGGGCCTTCAGAGGTGACTGGGGCAGGAGGGCCCCTGCCAGACAGAGCCCTTACAGCAGCTCCACACCTGCTTCTGCCTCCAGGTGAGGGCACAGCCAGGGAGGCATCACCTCAGAGCCAGAGCCGCAGCCCCCTCCAGACTGTGAGAAATGGATTCCTGTTATTTATAAACTGCCTGCGCTCAGGTATATTTATTTGTTTGTTCGTTTGTTTGTTTTCTTGTAGTGGGGATCGAACTCAAGACGTTGTGTTTGCGAGGCAGGTGCGGTGCCACTGAGCTACATCCCCGGCCCCGCTCAGGTATTTTTTATCATAGCGGGAAGACCCTGTGGCCACCCTGGTCTCCATGGCCCACCGCTGGCTCTCCGACTCCGGTCCCTGTGGTGTCAGTGCCCAGCCACCCACTCGCCCGCCGTCCCAGCTCACAGGATGGCGCGGCCGCGCAGCCGGTCGCATCTGCCTGTCCTACAGCGCCACCACGTGGCCATCTCGGGTGTCGCAGCTGCGCAGCCAGGCCAGCCCAGTGGGACAGGCTGCCAAGCGGGAGGCGGGCGCCTGAGGTCCTCGCTGCGTCTTCCCTGCCCCAGACCTCCCACTGCTTGTATCCTCACTCTGGCGCACTCCGCAGGTCCTCAGGGTCACCAGCAAGCCGCTGTCCTCCGGGCCTTCCTGGACCTCCCTCCAAGCAGCCTCCTCCTCGCCAGTGCGGCCCCGCCCCGCCCACCACGGGGCGGGCCCCCAGGGCCACCCACAGGCAGCGTGCAGAGCAAGCTGGTCCCTCCAACACCCTCGCTCTCCAGCGTCAACATTTTGGGGGCCCAACCCAAAGCCTGAAGGTTTGCTGATTCCTTTGATTTATTCCAGAATGTTCCTGGGACTGACTCGTTCCTTTTTCTCTCCTGCCTGTGTCTCCACCTTCTTAGTATGCCCCGGAGACCCCGCCAGGAACCCTGGACACTGCACAGCTCTCCATGAACACTGCACAGCTCACGGCATCCTCTTGCACCCCACCTGCATCCCACCTACACTCCACCTGTACCCCACACACATCCCACTTGCATCCTGCCTGCACCCTGTTTGTACCCCACCTACACCCACCACCACCAGGCGCATATTTGATTTACAGATGGGGCCCCCACTTCCAGTTTCCTCAGGTCTCCTGGCACGAGCCAGGTATCAGCACACCCCAAGCATGCCACACACATGAGGGGTACGGGTCAGAGGAGCACCAGTCTGGAGGAGCCATGGTTCTTTCCCTCCAATTTCCACACTGTGACTGGAAGCTGCCTGCTCTCCCTGACTGCAGCGTAGCTCTGGCGTGGGCAGGACGCTCAGCCCCAGCTGACTGGACTGGCGGTGCCTCTCTGCACCCACACACAAGCTTTCCTGGGAGATGGGGCCTACAGCAAGTCAGGTCTCCTGTCAGGCAGCTCCTGTGCCCAGAAGGCCTGGTCACCTTCGTGGGGGCTGCCAGCACCTCCCCACCTTGCCTGAGCCCAGTGGGCCTCGGGCACTACTGAAAGAAGCCATCCTATGAGTCTAGAGCCGGGAATTTAGCTCAGTGGTTCTGGTGCCTGCCTCGGAAGCACAAGGTCCCAAGTTCGATCCCTGGTACCAAAAAAAACCCCTATGTGTCTAGAGCTGCTCCCCACAGGGACCGGTGTTTGCCTCCTGGGCTGGGTGTCATCCATTGGCCACCCAAATGCCTTTGCCTGGTTGAAACCTTCCCTTCCCCCCTGACCCTCACCTTCCTGTGTGTTCCAGACTGTGGGTAGCTCAGCTCTGTGCTGCCTTCCAGTGGCAGGAAGCTGTGAGCAGAGTCCCAGGACAGCTTCCCCCTGAGACAGGAAGGGGGAAGAGAGCGGAGTCCCTACCGCTGTTCCTTGGCAGGCCTGCAATTACACAATGGTCTCCACTCATCCTCCCTGGCAGTGGAGGCAGCCGTGACCATCACCCAGTTTCCGGCTGTTCCTGTCTCTGAATGCCACCAGGTCCCAGGGACAGGTTTCCGGCCTTCCTTCCTCCAATTCTCCCAGAGTCCCTGCACAAATAACTCCCTGCTGGACAGCCCAGAGCTTCTTGTTTTCCTGAGCAACCTCGAGTGGCAGGGTATTAAGTGCCAGAAGCCACTTCTAGAAGCAGATCCTGGAAGGATCAGACAGGGTGACGATTTTGTGTTATGGGGGTGAGATGTGTGCCCCTAAAATTCCTGTTGAAACCCTAGCCTCCAACACCTCAGAATGTGACCTGGCTTGGAAATAGGGTAATTAGTTAGGATGAGGCCATCCTGGAGCAGGGTGGGCCCTCTTCCAAGTGACTGGTGTCCTACAAAGGGAGCGCTTGTCTGCCATCTGAAGGTGGAGGCAGACGGGGCAGTGCTTCTACAGACCAAGGAGCCCGGCATCACCAGCCACAGCCAGGAGCTGGGACAGCCTGGAACGGCTCCACTGGGAACTTCAGCTGCCCAACCACCCTGCCCACCGTGCTGTGCAGCCTCACCGGGCAGCATGGACAGTGGCCATTGGGCCTGATGTGGCAGACCCTACTCCGCCATCGCTGGGAGTGGGGTCTTTCCGGAAAGCCAGACCTAGGAGGCCAAGAAGCAACTGCAAATACATCATCCTGCTGTGGGAATCGGAACAGGGAGGACTGCAGGGTAGGCTGCTGAGCTCCACCAGCCCTGGGAAGATTCCATTTTTAAAATAACATACAAGAGGCTTTAAATTCTCAGCTCAAGCCAGGGTGAGAAAACCAGAAAATATGTGGGACTACTAAAAAAAAAAATCAGATTGCTTGTAGCGGGACTATTGTATCTGAAAATCGTTCCCCAGGCTTTAGCCTGCTGCTTGTAGAATTACAAGGTAAATTAAATTCTCAGCCTCCCCAGGCCGCTGATGTGAAGAACACAGAGCGGGAAGAGCTGGGGTGGAGTTGGGGGACCTGACCTTGATCCCCCCCAAACAGCCTCCCCTGGCCTGCAGACCACGCCTGCAGCAGGGACACCATCGGGGAGCCCCTCAGACCCCACACTGGAGAGAGGTGGAGCCCAGTCTGGGGAAATGCGTAAACATCTGACGCACAGCCCACCTCCTCCGCTTCAAGTTTTTTTTGTTGTTGTTTTTTGTTGGTGGTGGTGGTTTTTTTGGTACCAGGGATCGAACTCGGGTCCTTGCGCTTGCACAGCAGGCGGCGAAACCACTGAGCTAAATCCCTGGCCCTAATTGCTGCGGGAGAGTTGGGGGTGGGGGGACAGACGCAGAACCGAGGCAGGGCTGGATTTGTGGGTCTGGCTTGAGCCCCGGAGCCCTGGATTTCAGAGCCTTGGGGCCCTGTGAGAAGCTGACAGTTTGCCGCATCCAGTGTGGAAACCCGGGCTCACAAGGACTCGGCTGAAACACTGCCGGTCCAGGCCCAACACGGAGAGATGTCACTCCGGACGCTTGGGGCGGCAGGAACGCTGACACCAAATGGTCAGGAGTATGGCTCTCCCCAAAGCACACGTCCTCACAGAATCCCCCAGGAGCTTGTCAGTGAGAAGCCTGCAGGCTGGGGATCAAGGTGGGAGACGCTGGTACCAAGACCAGGTCCCCAGATAGCTGAGAGGGTGAGGCAGGCTGGGCATGGTCACCAAGCAGTGGTCAGAATGGGTAATGCTGCCAGGGCCTTTGGTCTTGGCCAGTTAGGCGAGTATCCCTGGAGCTGAAAAAAATGGTCAGTTAGGGCTGGGGATGTAGCTCAGTGATTCTGCCGCCTGCCTCAAAAGCACAAGGTCCCGAGTTCGATCCCTGGTACAAAAAAAACAAAAAAACATGGACAGTTTAGTAAAGCCTAGATTGACCATTAAAGAATAAAATCTGAGGCAGCCATGGTGGTGCACACCTGTAATCCCAACTCCTCAGGAGGCTGAGGCAGGAGGATCACAAGTTTGAGGCCAGCTTGGGCAACTCAGCAAGACCATATCTCAAAATAAAAAGGGCTGGGGATATAACTCAGGGAGTCTTTGCTTGGTGTGCGAGATTGGGAAAGGACACAAAATACCCTAATGGAGAGCCACGAGCTCTTACCCCAGCGCAGCGGGCACCAGGGCTAGGAGTGGCTCCTGATGGGCAGGGCCAGGGGCTTCTCTGCAGAAGGCCCCTACGACACAGGTGTTCCCAATCTCACCGTGAGACACTCATGTGCACTGGCCACCTGCCCCATCGCCCTAGCTATCCATCGCTGTGTGAGGCCTCTGAGCGGTTCTCTGAGCTCACAGATGTGGGCCGAGGCAGCGCTCCTGGGGAAGGTTCCCCTGCACCGTGGGGTGGCAGCTCTGGCAGATGGGGACAGAGCGATGCCCCTTCCGGTGAGCGCATCCCTTGGGACTGATGGGCTCCTTCCCCGAACCCCTGAGTTCCCAGGAGGAGCAGCCTGAGATGCCAGGAGGGAGCCTCTGGCCTCCGTGGCCTTCTCTGAGAGTCAGTTGCACCTGGAGGCCCACAGTGTGTGGCCCTCAGCTCCGTGAGGACGGCTCTTTGCCTCTCAGACTGGCTGCAGAGGGCATGGAGCCACAGGGAGGCCTGGCAGGGGAAGGGCTGCCCTTTCTGTTCTGCTTGTCTGCCATGCTGGACATGGAACTTGGGGGCCCCTGCGGGCTGAGCTAATGCGGTACCACTGAGCAACACTGGCCCAGGGGCTTCCCTTCGGGGTTCCCCCTCTCCTGGTTCCCTGTAGTGCAGCTGCTGCAGCCAACACTCTGGTGACCTTCTCAGCCACCCACGGGATACTCTGCAGCCTCCTCCAGTGTCCGGCCATGCGCGCCCCTCTGTGGGTTTCAGGGCCAGCAGCCTCTCCAGGGGGCCCTGGCTGGCCCTGCTGGCAGCTGGGGTCGCCACGGGCAGCTGAAGCTCCTGCAGCTGCCACACTCTGCACTGAAGTGCAGCCTGGCTCGCGGTTTCCTCCTGGCTCACAGCCTCTCCCCTGGGTGCCCTCGGCCCTAGAAATGGGAGCTGATATTCTTGGATTCCTTAGAATCCATAGTTAGATCATAGTTAAACATCTTTTTCTGGTAACAACTCTTTATATCACATTTTCCTGTTCAGATGACCAGCGCAGTTTCTGTCTCCTGATTGGAACCAGATGACAGGAGTTGTCCTGGGAGACAGACCATCCGATTTGGAGAGGTTCTGGCTGTGACCTCAGGCGTGAACACATTGCTGAGTGTTGTAGTCAGGGTTTGCGAGGTAATAGATTTAATACAGGACATATAATTTACGGGACTATTTTATAATAGTCACCCAAAAAGTTGAATGCTGAGGAGTGCCAGAGATCTGTCCACACCCTAGAGACTCGAAGAATCCAGCCAAGGGCTTGGATCCCACAGCAATGTCTCATGCTTGTCCGTATCAAGGATCGGGACCCAGAAGACCCAAAGGCCAGTGGTGGAGGCCAGAAAGCCTGTGCCACTGGTGAAGGACCTGTTCCACCAGGCTGAGGGACCTGCACTGGAGCCAGGAAGCACTGCTCAAAGCGAAGACTAGAGCTCCCCTGCCGAGAGCAGCCACCACTCCCAGCAACAGCAAGGACCTGAGCTCCTCCAACAACGAGAACAGCCAAGTTCCCCTTAGGAAAACCAGCCGAGCCAAGCTTCTCCAAGAAAATTGACAGCCGAAGATCTTCCCCTCCTGTTCTTTTGATGCAGTTGGCAACAATCCTCAGGTGGGTCTTCCACGCCCAGACCACACTGATCCAACTCAGCAGGGCGTCCCACGTTGACCATTAGTTAATCCACTACACTGAGCTTCATGCCCACAGAAAATGGATGCTCCTGCCCCGTGGGGCGTTTGGGCATCATCCTGAAGGGAGCAGGCATGACACAATGCAACCTGAAGCTTGTGCCCTGGGGCTCAAGGGACAGTGGGGATGCCAGCCAGGACTGGAGGGTGGGGCCCCGAAATTGCCCAGGGTGGCCTTGAATTTGTGATCTTCCTGCTTCAGCCTCCCAGAGTGCTAGAATTACAGATGTGTGTCACTGCGCCCAGCGAGGATCTCTTACTTCTTGTACCTGTACAGCCCATATTGCTGAAGCTCAAACACCAAACCCAAGTCCACATACGTGATCACAGTGTCAGCTGAATTCCAACCCTTGCTAGTTTCCTCACTTGAAAGTTAGGGCCTTGAAAGAAAGACCAGAACCCTGAACTCACAGAGGAGGCTCAGACCTGGAACCTCCCAGGTCACCCAAAACCTCCTCTCCTGCTGCCACAAATGGCAGTGGCCGAGAGGACGGCACCCTGCATTTGGGGACCCTCTCCTGAGCCCACCTGCAGCAGATCCCCCAGGTTCCCTCCCCCTCAGTGGCCTCCACAGCCCCCTCTGCTGCAAGACCAGTGGTAGGTGTCAACCTGGGGTCCAGGTGCAGGGTGTGACGGCAGGAAACAGCTCATGGCAGAGACTTGGGAGTTTTTTGTGAAGGGCCAAAGAGGATGCATTTTAGACTCTGTAGGACACTAAAGGCCTCTGTCCACCTGCTCGTTCTCCAACTTTTGCCTCTTCTTTTTCAGTGTTGTTACTGCATAAATATGTGTGTGTTGGAACCCTTTAAAATTATAAAAACCATTCTTAGCTCATGGGCTGTACAAAAAAATAGGCTCTGGGCCAAATTTGGCTCATGGGCTGTAGTTTGCCAAATCCTGGATTATAGACTACAAGAACTCACAGATTTTTCAACTATATATTGGCAGAGACCTGGGGATATGTGTGGAAGTGGATTCTAGGGTGTTAGACTGAGGAGGTTGAAATAGAACTCAGATGGGGTGGAACTCGCTGCTCCAACCCTCCCCAGGGTCCCCCACGCCTTCCTTGATGGACTGAAACTCAGACTCCACAGGGCCTGGAGTTAGCATGAGACACCAGTGTCCGCCATGTGTGTGGATGAGAGAATCTGGAGATTCACAGAGAAAGGGACTTTGAACCAGTTTGTCAGGGGTGGCCTGCAAGGCCACATCCCAACCACACACCTTGAGGACACTGCTTTCACTAGGGTGCAAGAACCAGATGTGGGTGGGGACCTCACATGCTGGAAAGTTCTGTGACTGATGCTCTTGGCAGGTGGAGTTGGTGGGGGATGGGCGCCACTCTTGAGAGGGCTCCCTGATTTCTTGGGGACAATGGGAGCCCAGAGCAGCAGAGGCCAAGAGGCAATAGCTAACCACTGAGGCCAAGGTGAGCTGAGCCCTGAAGCAGGCAGCGGGACACACTGGTGCTCCCTGTGCCCTGGCCTGTGGGGGAATTCCACTAATCAGAGGATCCCTGGAATTAAATAAGTGAGCAGCCCACTAGAACACTGCTTGGCCTGAAACAGAACTCCAGGTCCGGTGGCCAAACCTGACTTGAGTCACCGCAGTGGACTTGACCTGGAGCACTGCAGCACTGCTTCAAGACCAAAATGGCCACCCCTAGGCCAGCAGGTCCTGCACCTATTGACCACAGTAACTGTGACAGAGGGGAAAGAAATGCACAAACAGCTTAGGAATCACGAGGCACTGGCTTTCAATGGATGCTCATTCCTGGGGACAAAGATGGCATGGCTAAGGGAGGATTAGATGACGTTTCAGGCTTAGCCCGTTTGCCTCTCAGTGGGGCCAGGGAGCCACAGACCCTTCCTATAGCTCGTGCCTCAGTTCTGGAATGTATAATTGAACTAGAAGGCGCAGCAGTCCGCATACTCGCTTTGTTGCCTCACTCAGGGGAAGCCGGGCTGGAGAAAGCCCAAGGACTCCCCTCCCTGCTGAGACAGTAAACCCTGGGCCACACTGCATCCCTTGGGAGCCGCCGAGATTAGTGCCACCGGCAAAGACTGGAAAGCCATGGTTGTGAGGCGCCTATCACACCCCATCTAACTTACCCTGGGTCTAGAGTCCGTGACCTTAGACAATCCCCGAGTATGACTAAATTCAATCAGCTGCAACCGTCCCAGCAGCTGAAGCCTCACAGGGCTGCAGGGTGACTCCTCCCCGTGGCCCCAAAGGGCCCAGGAAAGTTTATGATCCCCCAAAGGAGGAGGAAGGCTTCTGCCGGGAGCAGGCATGATTCCACAGAACGAAGGGCGGTGCTGAACGGCTGCTGGACGGCGTTCCAGCCAGCACTCTAGGGTCGGGACGCTGGATGTGACATCACTAAACGCGCATCTGTGTGCGGAGCCCGCGGAGTTCCTGAAGGCCCGGGGGGGGGGGGGACGACGACGGTGGACTTGAATCAGGAACCCTGCACTTCAGGGAGCAGAGTTTTGGTCTTCAGCCACACCGGCAGGGCGCACACGGCGCGTCCGTAAGACCATCCGGACTAACGCGGGTTTACTCCAGCTGCTTCTGCGGGTCCAGCGAGCCCCTGCGGGAAGTGAAGCCGGAGAGTCTTGCAGAGCTTGTGGGCGGTTTGCGTTCTTCAGCTCTTGGCCCTGCGCGGCCGCCGTAGGGAGGGGGAGTGAGTACGGTGGCCGCAGGGTGGCGACCGTGGGGCGGCCGGTCGCGGGTCCGCCATGGGCAATCTGTTCGGCCGCAAGAAGCAGAGCCGGGTCACCGAACAAGACAAGGCCATCCTGGTGAGGGGCTAGCAACGGGGTGGGAGAGCTCGGGGCCTTGGTCGCTTGCTTCAGGGTAAAACAGGGACAGAGCGCTGGCGTTCTGCCTTGGGTGTCTGCTGGGGGCCGCCTGGGGCTCCTGGGCCGGGTCACTGGGGTCCCCAGCGGGCAGGCGGGTTGGCGCTGCTGGCCGGGCCGGGCCATCCTGCGTTGAGAGTTTCTCGGCCTCCGGCCGCGCGCCCGTGCCCGGTGCTGTCCTGGCCCCAGAGCCCCCGGTCCCTTCGGCCTGCCCGCAGACACTGACAGGGCTTTGCCGAGCTCATCTACGTCTGTGGGACTGATGTCCCCGCCCCGACGGACAGGACAGAGTTCCTACCTGCAGGCTCAGGGTTTTCCCAGAGCTCCTGGGCAGTTACAGAGTCCAGGAAAAGAACCAAATGATGTATTAGGGGAACGTGTGCAGAATGACCAGTTTTTCGAATAGAAAAATGTGTTAGGAAGGAGGTACCCCAGACACGAACAGATTGGCCTTTTCTGGTGCTTCCCTAAGTTTTTACCAACAACAACACAGATTACTCTTGTACTAACAGAGAAAGGAATACAACTGAAGAATGCCTTCTTACCTTGACTTCTGAGCTCATGTTTAAAAAGTTATGACCAAATTCCCCCGGGGTGAAGAAGGAACGATAGGTATGTCTTGTCGCTAACATGGCTACAACATTGGGTACTTAAGAGGAAGCTGGTGCAAAACCCGTGGGGCTCAGGGCTTGCCCCGGTGTCCAGCCTCCACCCTCTGCTACCTCTGGCCAGAGCAGGAAACCCTAGGCCTCTCCTCTCTCTCTCCATTTTTTTTTTTTTTTTTTTTTTGGTACCAGGGATCAAACTCGGGTCCTTCCGCTTTCGGGGCAGGCAGCGGAACCACTGAGCTAAATCCCCAGCCTGGCCTCTCCTCTCTTTAGGAACTCATCCTCCCTCTTTTCTCCGAATGAAGCTTTCTCTTGCCCGGGATTTAGCTCAGTGGTTCCACCACCTGCCCCGCAAGCTAAGGACTCGAGTTCTATCCCCAGTACCAAAAATAAATAAATAAAGCTTTCTCTCTGTCAGAGGTTCACTTTGTAGGTTCTACAGGAAAGGCAGACCTAGGTCTGCCCCTCCGTGGAGTTTCAAATGCTCAGGACATCATTGCTTTATATGTTCCTGAGATAACTGGCATAAAGAAGTCCTGCCCCTGTCTGCTGTCTGTGATCTCTGCTTAGACCTGTTGGTTTACAAAGAAGCAACCTATCCATACTGCCTCCCTTGGGCTCCTCTCCAATCCCTTCTGAAGGCCAGACTTGTAGTTTCTTATGCAGTTGCTTACTCCGGGAATGCTTTGCCAATAAGTACAGCTGAGGAGGAAGTCTATAGACTGTCTGAGAATAGTGGGCACCTTGTAGCAAGGGGAAGACTGGTAGCTGGCACTGCCAGACTGTAAGGAACGCTCAGTGGAGGGGAGAGGACTGGAAACAGCTTCAGAGACTGTGTGCGTGGGTGCATGTGCTGGGGAGTGGTTTCTTATCAGCTAAGCTTTAAGGGTGTGTCTGTACCTTGACTTAATTCATTTATGGTAATCTACCCTAAAGGGATCGTCCTGAGTGTGAGAAGTACCCTGGGCTGGAACCCATCATCCAAAAGACATCTGAAATGGTAGCATTTGGAAAAATGGAAATGGCTTAAGTTGGGAAGGATTGGCCAAAGCTGGCAAACACTGGTGCATCCTTTTTGGGTGGCATGGAAAGGTGGTTAGTGACTCACACGCACACCATCCAGCGTGTTTGTTAATGGGTATTAGTACAAGGGGAAGCTAAGCATGAATTCAGAATGGGGAGATGTCCCCAGGTGGGCTGTGTGTGCAGGTGCTGGTCAGCTGCCTGCCTGATCTCTGATGCATGTGAATCTTCTAGGCACTTGTGGCCACTTCCCCACCCAACCCCAGAGTGCTCCTGCTGCTCACAGCCTTGTCCTTCTGTGGCTTGGGCTGGACAGTGACTGACTAGAGAGGGATTCACCTCCTTAAAGTTACAGGGGGATGGATGTCAGGTGCACCCCCAACTGTGCAACTGGAATATTTCCCAGGATCACTGCCCGTCTCCTAGAAGGCAAATCTGCCTCCTAGACAGAGGACACTGTGTTAGAGGTTGCCTGGCCCCTGAAGGGTCATTTGCGAGCTCTCAGCCACACAGCCTGGTGTGCGACAGCCTGCAAAGGCTCAGCCAAGTGGGCACTGACTCGGTCACTCTCTCGGCGGCAGCAACTGAAGCAGCAGCGGGACAAGCTGAAGCAGTACCAGAAGAGGGTCACACAGCAGCTGGAGCGTGAGCGGGCACTGGCGAGGCAGCTGCTGCGGGACGGCAGGAAGGAGTGAGTGGGGCCTGAGAGGTGGGCACGTCCTGTGGCCTGGAGTGGGTGGGCAGGTCCAGCAGAAGCCACCGCCCTAACCGTGGGCTTCCTCCACAGACGGGCCAAGCTGCTGCTCAAGAAGAAGCGGTACCGGGAGCAGCTCCTGGACCGAACAGAGAACCAGATCAGCAGCCTGGAGGCCATGGTGAGCAGGGGAGGAACCTCTGCCGGGAATCTGAGGCCTTAGGGGCCTGCACAGATTGGCCCTTGCGGGGGAGCCACCCTTGGTGGTGTGAGTGGGTCAAGGGTGAAGGGGTCGATGTCAGCGTCCCTGGTGCTGGGCCCTGAACAGCTTGGCTCTGCTCTTGCTAGCCCGAGCCCCTGACAGTCACCAATCCTCTGAGTGTCTCTGGTGCCTTCTCCATCCTCTGAAAACAAGAGTCATGGGGGAAGACGGAGGGAGCACAGGCGCCACCCTAACCCAGAAGACCCTGGTCAGCAGTGCTGTCCCATGAGCTCTGCCCCAGGTCAGAGTGCGGCCGGGGCTCCTGACCACTGGGCTGTTCTTTGCAGGTTCAGAGCATTGAGTTCACCCAGATCGAGATGAAGGTGATGGAGGGGCTGCAGGTGGGAAACGAGTGTCTGAACAAGATGCATCAGGTGAGTCCTCGCCGGGCCAGGTGGGGTGAGTCTGGGCTCCCTGGTCAGCATCTGAGGTCCCCCGGGCCCAGCCATTGGCCTGGAGGAGTCTGTGCCAGACCCAGGCAGGGGTCCAGCCAGCTGGGGAGATGCACAGTGGCTGACAGGCAGTTTGGGGTCACAGGGACCTGACAGCGGCACCTCCCAGTGGTGGGCTGGCTCCATGCAGCTGAGTGACAGGGAGGGCAGCAGGGTGGGGAGCAGTGTGAGGGTCTCACCTCTGAGGCTTCCTGGAGAGGTGAGACCCCACCTGTCTAGGGAAGCAGACTGGAACTGTCCTTCGAGGAGTGGGGCTCAGCCCAGGGCACCCCATTGTGCTCCTGACAAGCAGGCCAGCCAGTGGGTCATTTTCGCCCTTTCTGAACATCTTACTGGGTGTAGGTGCCATGGGCACCAGCCTAGCAGAGGTGCTGCTTCAAACTTGCCACTCAAAGGAAACCACATCACTCGCTCAGAGAATGAGCTCCACTTTTGACTCATTTTGTCCACGATTGTCATGGTTGGCACAGGCTGGGGAAGGGCCTGGTAGTGAGGTCCAGGCCTCTGAAGCCAGGTCTGACGGCCCCGTAGCATTGTGCCAGGTGCCAGCTTCAAAACCTCGCCCTCTCTAGGTGATGTCTATTGAGGAAGTGGAGAGGATCCTAGACGAGACGCAGGAAGCTGTGGAGTACCAGAGGGTAGGTACTGCCGGGCCTGCCCCCCACCAGCTGGCCAGAGCCAGGACCAGTGTGGTGACTCTATGACCGGCCACCCTCGAGGGCCAGACTGCCCAGTCCACAGTGGTGCTGCTCTCGAGGGTGCGCCTAGAGCCACTGGCTGTCTGCTTCAGGAGGGGCCACCTTTCCCTCGGCTCAGCCTGGCACACATTCACTGCCACTCTTCCTTCTGCAGCAAATAGATGAGCTGTTGGCCGGAAGCTTCACACAGGAGGATGAGGACGCCATCCTGGAGGAGCTGAACGCGATCACTCAGGTACCAGGAGCCCGGGAACCCCGAGCAGACCTTTGCCTGTGATGTACGCCACTGATTTATTTGAGCACACAGGATGCTGGTTTGCCCCTGCTCTCCTTCCCAAAGTGGCTTGCATTTGTGCTAAGCCGAGGCCTTTCGGGTAGGAGCCGTTTGGGGGCTGGTACTAGGGTCTGTTGCAGCAGCTGTGACCCACGCATCCACATAGACCCTTCCTGGCTTGCTCAGCCCCTTTCTTTCCCTGACGTGACTTTTAGTCAGCAGGTTTTCTTTCCTTGCGGCGTCTCCAATTCTCCTGTGCACGCTGGGCCCTGTGAACTCTGATGCTGCGTCCTGCCCCTGCCCCACACCCGGGCCCTGAGCTCGGTGATTGCCCCAGCACAGGGGTTCTCCATCTGTGGGCCCTGCCTCTGGTTGCCAAGGCTGCCCTGTGCCCCCAGAGCTTTCCACTGTCCTCAGCCCGACGGGAGGCCTCACTGGGAAGTTGCCTTTGTAGTCCGTAATCTCCTGCCGCTGGAGCCTAGGAGCCTGGGGCCCTGCCCGGACAGGCGGGCCTGGAGGTAGACAGCCCCAGGCTGGCAGGCTGTCCGCCACTCACTGGGACAGCTCTTCACAGACTCACCCAGGGTCGGGACCCTCAGGACTCCTGATGGCTGCAGTGACTTCCTGGACCTGTGGGCACCAGTGCCACCTGGGTGTCTATTTAAAAACTGTGATCCTGGCATGGCCCCAGGCTTGTGAAGCAGGGTCTTGAGACACCCCGAGAGTTGGCCATCGAGACACGCCACCCATTGGAGACCCCAGGGTGACCCGAGACTCTGAAGGTGCCTGGTCCAGATCTTCTGAATGGGAGGGTTCTTGTTCCGTCCCTCTGTCATCCCACCAAGAGCAGCTGGGTACACAGGACTGGCCGCTCTTCCCCGACTCAGGACAGGGCCCAGGCAGCCTCCTGGTGACCTGCCAACCAAGCCTCATGGCCTCATTTGCCTCGCCTTTGCTTCTCACAGGAACAAATAGAGCTCCCAGAGGCTCCTTCAGAGCCCCTTCCTGAGACACATCCAGGTACCTCCACTCTCTCCTTTCACCTGTGTTGGGATCCTTAGAACAGCGAGTCCTGGGAGGGAGTGCTGCACACGCATGCTGGCATCTTCCCCAGCGGTGGGTGGGTGAGCACGGGCACCCTAGGGCCAGCCCAGTGGAGTGCGGCCATGTGGCCTCATGTGGGACCCGGTTTCCCAGGAGTGGGGCAACCTCCTGCCATTTGCAGAGCCATGTCCCAACATTCGACCCAGGCAGGGACTTGTGAGGTGCACCAGCTCCTTCGCAGGGTCAGCCCGCATCAGTCGCTGATGTAGGCAGTGGGCAGTGTTTGCCACGGGCTCTTAGGAAAGTTCCCCGGGACTTGACCCTCCTTGGCAGCTCCTGCATGTTCCTTCCATTCCCCTGTAGCTCTGGGGAGCTCTGCCCCTCACAGGGGCTGCTAGACAGCTTCACTCCCCTGGCCTTTGTGAGCCCGGCTGACTTCGCCCTTCCTAGCGTGGCCCACCCCCCTCTGGAAGTGTCTGCTTTGGTCTCTGGATGTCACAATCCTGCCTTTTTTCTCCACAGAAAAAGCCCCTGTCAAGGTCAGGCCCAGGCAGGCAGACCTGGTGGCAGCCTCCTAACTCAACTGCTCACAGGACTTGGGGGCTCCCCAGGACTGGCCCAGAGAGTCTGGGTTGGTGGCCAGCGTGGATTGTGCTGCTGGGCGGAGCTGCGGCTCATGTGGGCTCGAGCATCGGGGACGGCTCAGGAGCGGCTCCCTCGCTGTTCAGGCTGAGTCCTGGCATGGCTGTCTTGCTCTCATTTCTGGATTAAATGGCAACGTGCAAACCCTTGGAGGCCATGGTTCCGCAATGGCCACGGCCTGGACCTGCTGCTCCTGGTGCTGTTCACTGCTGCCCCAGACCCCAGTGGCCTGTGCTCTCCCGAGGGGAAGGTGCCAGCTGGCCTTGAGGTCCCTATGCTTTTTCACTTCTTTGTTGCTCCCATTAGCTGGTGATGGGCTGGTAAAGGCTCCCGTCTTGCCTGACATCAGTTTCCCTGCAGGGTAGGGGCAGAACCCCTAGGAACCTGCATTTGCTGACCCTCCCAGTACCTCTGCCTTGGCACCCAGACTCAAGCTTCTGTCATTCAGGGGAGGTGGGCCAGAGGCCATCCCTGCTGGACTGACGATCACAGGAGTCCCAGCCTCACCCTGTCACCGTGGGTCTGTGCACCGTGGCTCGGCCCTGCTGAGGAAGGACACCTGAAGGGGGTAGCAAGACCCGGCTCTGGCAGGTGTGGCCTCATCTTGTGCCCATGGGAGTCCTGCACCCCCCACCCACCAGCTCTTGAGCCACCAACAGCCAGGACAGGAGGCACACAGCCTGGAAGACTCCTCGAACATGGCGCTTACTTTGTTGGACAATCTCACTGGTGTCTCACTGGCCTGTGAGAAGCACGAGGGCAGTGGCCCAAGAGAGCCCTACACACCTGCAAGGACACCAGGAACAGCAGGGAGTCTCTTCCTTATCCTAAGCAGGTCAACCCATGTATTAAAGGTGGCCCTTGCACGGCCTGTGGCCTCGTGGACTTGGCATGTCAGTGTTCCGACGTGGCCCTGGCTTTGCAGGCAGGTTGGAGTGTGACCCTGACCAACACCTCCAGGAATAGCCCAGGACCAGGTCCCAGCAGAGGGGCAGGCTCCAGGCTCTTCCTGCTGGTAGACGGAAGGCAGGCCAGCTCCTTGTGGCTGAATCCAACGGTCACCTCTGAACAGTGCCACCTCTCGGGCAGGGTGCTCCTCCAGCCACTCTCAGAGACACCTGGCTGCCTGTGATTGTTCAGTGGTTTCCTGTGGTCCCCATAGCTACAGGCCCTCAGCCTGAGATCTCAGGTAGTGAGGCCAGGTGTCTGGGTCGGGGTCATGATGCCTTGGTGGGAAGCCAGGAGCCCAGAGAGCAGCCCCACACACACTGCGGCACCATGGGGCACCGGCTGTGTTGCCAGGGCTCATGGTTTCTCAGGAGAAGCTGGAACCTGGGTCTCCAGGTGAGGGACTCCTGATGGGGACCACACTCACACACATGGCCACCTCCCAGACTGGACCAGGGGCTGCTCTGCCTCACTGCTCTTGCCTGTGTCTGCTAGGAGGGGGCTCTCTGCCCACCAACCTCAAGGAGACTTTGCAGAAAATGCCTGGGTTCCACCCACTGGATTCTGCTGCAGGAGCCTGAGGGTAGTCAGTGAGGCCTGGCCAGGCCAGGCCCACAACCTGTCCCTCTGCAGCAGCAAGTCCCAGGCCCACACCCTATGGAGGGGACAGAGGGCCCAGCCCAAGAGAGGCCAGCGCAGCTGGACAGCCCCTGGCAGATGTCCAGGCATGGCCACAGCCTCCCCAGATCCCTGTCCAGGGTGGACCCCTCTTCTTGTCTGCCTCCTCCAGGACCCTGGCAGGCACCCCCAGGAGAGGATGGCTGCTGGTGGCATTTCACAGTATGGGCCGCCCTCAGCCCAGGCTAGGCGCAGGCCACAGTGCCCTGGCCTGAGCCACATGGTTACAGTTTGGGGGCAGCCTTCATCCCTTGGGGCAACAAGAAAAGGACAGGAGACCATATCCCCTCACCAGGTTGTCAGTCTTAATTTCATCCCTGCAGCCCAGAACAACCTTGAGCTGATGCCCTGGCCCTGCTGAGCGTGCCTGGCTGGCAGCTGCTGCTTCTGTCATGGGGCCAGTGGCAGCTCCTGCCAGCCTGCAGGAGCCCAGTACCAGCCAGACCCTGGCCTGACTTCCTTCCAGTATAGGGGGACATGGCACCCACGACAATCACAAGTCAAAGTTAAGCGCACACACTGAGGCAGAGTTGGTACCCTGGCAGCAAGGCTCCCTGGGGTCTGGGGAAACAGGAGGACCCTGGGGGCACAGGTGGGGCGCCTGGCAGCAGTGCGCGTGCTGAGTGGGTGGAGAGGGGCAAGAGACTCCGGGAGCCATGGGACAGGCAGCAGCTTTAAGGGTGCTGAGGAACCCTGGCTGCAGCCACTGAAAGCCCACTCCAGCCCTGGCTCAGCTGGGGACGGGAAGTGACCTAGGTTTCCAGGGCTCCCACAGGCGGGGTGGAAAGCAGAGAAGCACAGACTGGAGCGAAAGGGGAGGGCCAGATGCAGGATGTCCTGGGTGGAATGGGGCACCTGACCTGTGTGTGCCCAGTGCCTGGCTGGCTCCTGCACAGCGCAGTTCCTCGGCCAAGGGACAGACTGTGACCCAGACTGGTCCCTCGTGAGGTTGTGGGGGTGGGGTCTCAAGCACCCAGCCCTCCAGACTCGCTTCCTGCCAGATGGGAGCACAGGAGAGTCCCACCTCTCAAACAGTTGTGATGAAGTGAAATCTTCAACATAAGTTTTGCAGAGAACAACACTCAGACCAAAGGAGAAAGAACAGAGCATGGCCACATTGAATAGGATGACACTGATGAAAACCTCCAGGCAGCCCCCACTTCACAGCATCTTGCAGAAAACTGCGGCCCCCAGCCAAGTGGCAGGTGGTACCCAGAGGCTGGAGCGGCTGCATCTGCCTCAGTTCACATTTGTCTGTTTCGTGGTGAGGATCGAACCCAGAGCCCCGTGCATATGAGGCAAATACTCTACCACTGCAGCACAGCCCTTCGGGCTTTTTTATTCTGAGACCAGGTCTCACTAAGTTGCCCAGGGCGGCCTCCACCTTGTGGTCCTCCTGCCTGTCTCCCAAGTAGCCAGGATTACAGGTGTGCACCTGGTGATGTAATATCATTTGTTCTTGTTTTTGTGGCACTGGAGACCAAACCCAGGGCCTCATGCTGAGCGACACCCCAAGCTCTTTTGTTTAAATAGTCTCACAGGAAAACCGTTTTCATTTTCCTGTGCAACGCTATGGATTTCATGCATGGAGATCCCTCCATCCCCACCACAGTGAGGACACAAGGAACGCATGCAGGTGAGCAGGGTAGGGATGGGAGTTTGTGCAGCCACGTGGGAGACCAAGAGGTGGGCAGTGGGGCCCACACACCCTCCCAGACCCAGGGTCCCCCTCAAAGGAGGGACGTGGCTCAAGGATGCTATTGTGACAGCACAGGACATGGGGAGGCTGCCAGCCCTCCATCTCCCTGTGTGGGGCTGGGGCTCAGACCACCATGCAGCAGGGAAGTGACAGGGTTGCTAGTGTCTACCGTGTCCACAGAGAGTCTGCTGGGGGGCCAGGAAGGGGCTGCAGTCCCAGGCCCGCTGACCACTCCCCAGTAATCCAGATTGTCCCCCACCTTCCTGAGGGACTTGAGCCAGCCCTGTGCTGTCCATGATGTCTGCACACACACACACACCCACGTTGTGACCTCACAACAGGGAGCTGAGTGTCAGGCTCCTGTCCTGTCACCCGAGGTGTCCCGGGGCCGTCCACACTCCGAGACACCACAGCAGTGTGCTCAGGGATGAGAAACCAGAGATGCCACCAGGAGGCTGGACTGCAGAGGCGCAGGGGCCCTGCCCATCCTTAAGTGCCACCAGTGTGTGCTGCACCCACGGTAGAGGGCCAGTTCATGGCTTTGAGCATATTCACAGACATGTGCAGCAGTCACTCTCAGAACACTTTCATGACCTCAGAAGAAACCCTGTATACCTTAGCTGTCACCTCCCCACTCCCGTTCCCTTTCCCAGCCCTGAGCATCCACTACCCTGTCAGTTCCCTACCCTGGACCTTCGTAAGAGTGGAAGCATATAATTTGTGGTCTTCTGCAGCTTCTTAGCATATTTTTAAGGCTTATCTGTGTTGTAGCATGTACCAGCACTTCTTTCTACTGTCACAGAATATGCTACCTATTGATACCATTTTGTTTATCCATTCTTCAATTTGAGGGGTAGTCTCCATTATTACCGGTATGAATAATGCTGATACAAACATTTGCATACATGTGTCTGGGGGGACATAGGTTTTTGTTTCTCTTGGGTATATGCCTAGGAGTAGAATCACTGGGTCTTACTGTGTCTGTGTTCACAGAGCTGTTCACCGCGGTAACCACCATTCCTCATTCTTCAGTGTATGAGGGCTCCAATTTCCCCACAGCCTCACCAACACTTGGTTCCTGTCTTTTGATCACAGCCATCCTCCTGGGTATGAGATGGTACATGCTGTCCTTCGGTTTTGATTTGCACTTCTCTGATGTCTAATAATGCTGGTCATCTCATATGTTGTGGCCATTTGTGTATCTTCTTAGTGATATGTCCACTCAGATTCTTTACCCATTTTAATTTGTTTAGTTGTCTATTATAATTAGTTATAACAACCTTTATATATTTTGAATATCAGAACCTTAACAGATATATGATTTGCAAGTACCTTCTTCTATTCTATGGGCTATCTTTACTTTTTTACTGGTATCCTATGAAGGTCAAAAGCCTTAATTTTGGGCCGGGGATTTAGCTCAGTGGTTCTGCCACCTGCCTTGCAAGCACAAGGTCCTGAGTTCAATCCCAGTACCAAAAAAAAAAAACAAAAAAAATTTTTAATTTTTATAAAGCCAAGTTTTGGGTTTTGGGGGGTTTTTTCTTGCTTTTGCTTTTGGTGTCATACCTAAGAAATTCTTGCCTAATCCAAGGTCATAAAGATTTATGCCTATGATTCCTTTTTTAAATTTCTGTAGTTCTTACATACGTCTTTGAGTTAACCTGAGTTAACCAGTGTAAGGCATGAGTTTGGGTGAATCTGCCCTCATCCTTTTCCATGTAGATGTGTTGTCCCAGCACCATGTGTTAAAAACACAATTCTTTCCCCATTGAATCATTGTGGCATCTTTGTCAAAAATCAGTTGATCACAAATGATGGTCTCTCAGTTCTCTCTCACTGATTTGTACGTGTACTTTCATAGTCTCCTTTTAGCTTTGTAGTAAGTTTGGAAATTGGGAAATGTGAGTCTTCCAAGTTCTTTTTCAACGTTGCTTTGGTTATTCTGGGCCTTTGAATTTCCATACGAATTTTCAGATAAGCTTTTTTTCAATTTGTGCAAAGAAACCAGAAGGGACTATGACAGAATGGACAACAAATCTGGAGATCATATTCACGATGCCAGGCATGGTGGTGCATATCTGCAATCCCAGTTCTCAGGAGGCTGAGTTTGAGACCTGCCTGGACTACACAGTGAGATCAAGGCCAACCTGAACTATACAGTGACAGCCTGTCTTAAAAACCAAAAATAAATAAAGAATGCACGCATACTGTCATCTAACCAATATTAATTCTTCAGAGCCAGAGTGATTTTTTCATTTGAGTCTTCTTTAATTTCTTTCAAGTTTTGTATTTTCAAAATGTTTTATACTTTTTTCAATTTAGTAATTTTATTACTATTTTTGATGCTATTTTAAATGGAATTGTTTTTTAAATTTTAATTTCAGATTATTAATTGCAAGTCTATAGAAATAGTTGATTTTTGTATACTGATCTCCTGCAACCTTGCTGAATTTATAAGCTCTAGATATTTTAATTACATTCTTAGGTTTTTCTATATTAAAGATCATTTGGGTGTGGTGGCACATGCCTGTAATCCCAACATTCTGGGAGGCTGAGGCAGGAGGATTTTGAGTATGAGCTCAATCTGGGCAATTTAGCAATGAGCCATAAAGGACTGGCAAATAGATTTCACCAACTGCAAGACCCTGTCTTAAAATTAAAAAAATTAAAAAGGGCTGGGGATGTAGCTTAGAGTGAAGGCCCTGTGTTCAATCCCCAATACCACACACACAAAAAAAACATGACACCTGTCTATGGAGATAGTTTAACTTCTTCATTTCCAACCTAGATGTCTCCAGTTTCATTTCCTTGCCTCCTTACCCTAGTGAAAACCTGCATTGCGATGTTGGGTAAAGTGGGCACCTCCACTTTGTTTCAGTTCTGCTCCCAGCCTCATAGCATTAAAAACAGAAAAGGAAATTGCAGAGTGGTGAAAATCTAGAGAAAGTGAAGAGACAACACAACGCAAAGGGAAGAGACCTCTGCACTTCCTCCCTGGCTCCCGGCCTGTGGCTCCCGGCTTCTGGAAAGGGAGACTACATGTACAGAGACAAAGTGAAAGCTGCAGACTCCACATCATAGTCTCAGGGAGAAAGTTTCAGCGGCGGAAAAGGCTGGCAGGTGCTGTGAACTGGAGGGAGAGGGTTCCGCTCCTCCGTGGGTCCTTCCACAGACAACAGCTGCTGAGTGACTCCAATCCCACCACCCACCGTGTCCCTGGAGAGTGCTCAGTCAGATGCCATTCTAGGGAAGGGTTGATGGGTTGAGCACTGACTTTGTTGTGTTCCCAAAACAGACCCGGGAGACAGCCACAGTCAGGAAGTGGGCTGGAAAGAGACCCTCCCCCAGAAGTTTCAGCTAAAGGACGCACTTCCCACCCCTAGGGCCAGAGGCCAGACCCCGCCTGAGTTGCTCTGGATTTGAAAGTCACGGCACTGGCGCCCTTTCCCTACTCCGGCTGCCTGCTGGTGCCCGCATCCAGCACAGACCTGGGGGCTGACTGCCCTCCTTGTGTACCAGCGTGAGCAGGGACGTCTTGACTTGGACGCTGCCCCAAAGTTGTACATCCCAGAAGAAAACCACACTCAAAATCCCAGAGAAATTGGTTTTCTTTGTGTGTCTTTTTTTTTTCTTTTTCCTCATTCCTTTCTTTTTTCTTCTTCACCAGTTTATTGGGGTTTGGAGAATTTTCCTTTCTCCTTTTTCTTTGTTTTTTATCTTTTTCTTTATTTTTCCTCTTCTTTTAATTTTTCCCCCTTTAATGTTTTCTCGTTTTTTACTCCCCATATAATTTTTTTGCCCCCCTCTTATTTTATCTTTTATTCATCAGTTTTTTTCTCTCTTCTTTACCTAACCTTTCAAACATTCTTCTATGCCCAATAGGATCTTTTGTCCCACTCTCTCTCCTCCTCATATCATAGTTTAAGGTTTCCAATTTTTCCTCTTGCATTCCCAGTTCCCAACCCCTAAATCTTTAATAGTATAACCTTAGGGGCCAGGGATTTAGCTCAGTGGTTCTGATGCCTGCCTTGCAAGCACAAGGTCCCAAGTTCGATCCCTGGTACAAAAAAAAAAAAAAAAAAGTATAACCATAAAGCTTTATTCATCTTTAGAGAGTTACCTCTATAAAATTATTGCTGAATTTTCTACCCTTAGCAGAGATACAGCTATCTCATTTAGTACATATTAGTTGTAAGTCAATACCTGGGTTGTTTCAATGTTTATACCATAACTGTAAATTTCTTCTCTAGGTTTAAGGGTGATACATAATTGGTTCTTATGGTATGTTAATATCCAATTTGTCATGGAGGATACTATGTAGCTGATTTACTTGATATTACCAGGGTCACATAACTGTTGCTATTAATGGGTTTCCTCTGTAAGCAAACACTCAGATTACCTTTATGACATTAACAATACTAGAGTAAGTTCCCAGAAAACTTGCTGTTGGAGCAATTACACTGCAATAAACTAAAATAAGAATGGATCAAAGATCTAAATATTAAAACACTTAATCTAGTGAAGGATAAAAATAGGTAAAACTCTTGAAGACATAGGTATAAGCAAAGATTCTGAACAGGACTTGGTTGGACAAGAAATAATACCTAGAGGGCCAGGGATTTAGGTCAGTGGCACCGCACCTGCCTTCCAAGCACAAGGTCCTGAGTTTGATCCCCGAACCAAAAAAAAAAAGAAAGAAAAAAAGAAATAATACCTAGAATCAACAAATGGGATCATACCAAATTATAAAGCTTCTGCACAGCAAAGGAAACAACCAACAAAGAATGGGAAAAAATTTTGCCACTACTACTCAAGGACTAGTATCTAGAATTTACAAAGAACTCAAAACATTAGACTCCCCCAAATTTAAAGCCTCCATCAATAAATGGGCATTTGAAAAAGAAGTACAAATGACCAATAAATACATGAAAAAATGTTCAACATCACTGGCCATTCAAAACATGGAAATTGGGCCGGGGATTTAGCTCAGTGTTTCTGCCACCTGCTTAGAAAGCACAAGGACCTGAGTTAGATTCCTGGTACCACACACACACAAACCATGTAAATTAAAACAAAACTGGGCCAGGAATGTAGCTCAGTGGTGCAGCATCTGCCTGGCAAGCATGAGTCCCTGAGTTCGATCCCTGGTACCACAAAAAAAAAGAACCTACTTGTTGGTCTGAATCTGGATTTGTAAAACAAGAATGGCCATCATCAAGAATCAAACAATAGGGCCGGGGATTTAGCTCAGTGGTTTTGCTGCCTGCTGCACAACCACAAGGACCCGAGTTCAATCCCCAGTACCAAAAAAAAAAAGAATCAAACAATAATGAATGCTGTAGAGGTGGGGAGGAGGCCTTCTTCACTGTTGGTAGGAGCGTAAACTTGTACATCCAAAATGGACATGAGAGGGCTGGCGATTTAGCTCAGTGGTGCCACGGCTGCCTTACAAGCGTAAGGTCCTGAGTTTGATCCCTGGTACCAACAAAAAAAAACCACCAAAAAATGGAAATGAGTATGGAGCTTCCTCAAAAAACTAAAGTTGCCAGGCATGGTGGTACACACCTATAATCCCAGCAGTTGGAAGACTGAGGCAGGAGTATAGAAGTGAGTTCGAGGCCAGCCTGGGCTACAAAGCAAGACCCTCTCTCAAACAAACAAACAAAAACCCTGAAGTAGAGATTCCATTTGACTCAGCTAGTCCCTTTCTAGGTATCTTCCCAAAAGTGTCAGTCATCATCTTGCAGAGACACATGCATGCCCATGTTTATAGCAGCACGATTCAGAACAGCTAAATTTTGGAAGCACCCTATATGTCCATCAACAGATAAATTGATAAAGAAAATGGGGCATTTACATATAACTGCCCCCAAAAAGGGATAAATTTGAGTCATTTGTAGGAAAACAGATGTGCCCTGAGATCATAATATTAAGTAAATCAGATACACAAATTTAAATTTTGTATGGTTTCTCTTATATTCCAAACCCAACAGATAAATATAGTGCAAAATGAAAGACAGATAATAGAAAATAAAAGTTATTTTAATTCAGCATGGTCAATGTATCTAAAAGTGTACCTTGATTGAATATAATTGTTTTTATGTGTTTTATATGTTTTTAGGTCTATTAGTCTGGCTGTTAATCTGTGTTTATAATTAACTTGACAAAGACTGAAAAATAAATAAACGTTAGAAAAAAAAATAAAAACAAGAAAAACAAAGTCCACACAAAGAGTATTTTGTGCAAAATTCAACCCACTACGTCCACCTCCACGCACACCCTTCCTCCCTTTTTTGGGCAGGGCAGGCGCAGGGTTGACGGCCTGGGTGGTGCCTGAGCGCCGGCTTCAGATACATACTTGTGGGTCTTCATACAACTCCTGTGATCCCGATCACGAAACCTGAGTTTGATACGGCACGCTTGTGGGCGGGTGTGCAGTCGGGTGAAAAGCTTCCCGAAGAGAACTAACAGCTCAGGGTCCGTGGAGGGAGAGTGAGGCCCATGACAGGATCCCCAGCTGGGAAGACAGATGGAGCCTCACTCAGGCTGGCCCACCAGGTACCCAACAACGGCGTGTCAGGGCCGGTGGGATCAGCACGGGGGCCAGAAAGAGCCCCGGACACTGCCCACACGTCCGGTCACTCCAGGCCTCACTGAAGGAAGCACTTCCGGTCTGGGCTGGAGTGAACAGAACAACATGGTCATCTCCTCACACACTTAACATTTTCAGCACCGCCCCAGGTCAGCAACCAACGTTTCCACTGTATTCGGGATATCCTGCTTCACAAGTTAAGAGAGTGTGGCGAGAAGGCCAGCCGGGGGCAGAGCGAGCTGCACTTCTAGCGTCCCTGGCTACACAGGAGAACTCAAGCTGCCGAGCCTGCCCCGCGCGGGACGCGTCGCTCCCTAGTGACGTCACGGGGCGGCGCCGCGCGGCTCTGCGTCCTCTCTCTGGACCGGGCCGGGAAAGAGGACGTGGGACCTGTTCGCGACCTGTGGGGTAGGTTTCTGACCCTCGGCGGCAAAAAGGGGTTTCAGAACACGTGCGTGTGAGGCATAGGCGGACTTAATAGGAAGAGTTAGAAAGTGAGGGAGAATAGGCGCGCACTCACTCCGCCCGAGAGGGTCAGGCCTAACTGTTAGCAGGGAAACGGGGCCTATCTAAATCGGTGGCGGGGCGCTGTGGCGGGCTGGGGTCTGGTTGACCACTTCCGCCCCCGGCTCTGCAGCTCCAGAGTAATCCTTAAGGTTTGTGGAGCAGTTCTGCTCCCGTGATGATGGTTCTTGCTTGGGGGAGCTGAACTCCTTAGGGGGTGGTCTGTGAGTCCTTGTTTTCCCTGCATCCCAGGGGCTGAGGTTTAGAACTATAGTTGCTTCAGGGCGTCTGGAACTGGACCTGGTGCACAGGCTGGTAATTGGATGACCCTACAAATCCCGAAAATTACTTTAGTTACTCTTATCTTGGTGTCCTTAGTCTTGAGAGGGATGAGATAGGCCACGGAAATTTAAGGCTAACCTTGTGATGTGGACACTCCTTGCGTGATTAACATGCCAACATGCAGAACGCAGCAGGGATCTGACACAGCATTTTAAGGTGACAAAGGGGATAAAAAACTGAAGGGGGGGATGCCAACCCATTGGACATTTTCAGGTCCTCATCTTTATTCCTTACACTTAAGTCCTCCTGATTGATTGAGTTTTTCAGTGCTAGAGATTGCACCCAGGGGTACTCTGCTACTAAACTGCATTCCAAATTTGTTTGTTTAATTATGAGCTGGGATCTCAAGTTGCCCAGGACCAACTCGAATTTGCAGTCCTCCTGCCTCAGCCTCCCTCAGTGCTGGGATTACAGGCATGTGCCACCACCCCCAGAAGTCCTCCTAATATATTTAAACCCATGTTTATAAACAATCTGTTCTCAAGTACTGTGGTATTCCCCCCTAGGATTCTTAAGACAAAATGTTTTTGTGAATAACAAAAATATAACCCTCCAAAGGTCTCAACATTAATTCTAACTATAGAGTTGAAGGAGCGCATGAGAACACACCCACCTCTGAGAGGACTAGGCACCTCCTTATTTCAAGGTGAGGACCTGGAGGAAATTCCCTGCGCCCCCGGGCACACTGGAGACTCTGGCTGCCTCTCGGGTCTGTGCTGCTGCCCAGCCTCAGCCAAGGGGCCTCCTCTGCCAACCTGGGCAGAGTGGGGAGCTTTCCCACACCGATGTTCAGAGAAGTGATACAAATGCAGCTGGTTTCTGCTTAGGCAACATTCAAGCAGCAGGGAACTTTGACAGAGAGGAACTCTGAATAAGGAACAATCTGAATCCTTAAGCAAAATAGAAATGTTTAAATGAATTGTTTTGGATTAACTGCCTCATCTCCCTATGATTTTTCTTCTCTTTGAAAGTGACCTAGGAGGGGTTTGTACCTGTGTGGCAGTGACGCCCACTACAACATCTCTCATTGTGACAACTAAAGCTCAAGTTCAGGAAAAACACAAGGAAACAACCACCAGGCCCCTCAGGGCTCTGCAGAAGAAACCAGAGCAGATGGATGGAGGAGGTGGCTTTAATGGGGAAGGGGTCCGCTGGTTTTTACTTTCTCTTTTCTCATGCAACTTTGCCCCACGTGGGCCTCAGCTTCTGAACTGCAGAGCAAAACACAGTTAAGCCTCTGACAAACCCTGTCTTTCTGGCCAGAGGAATAGGGAAAGGGGCCCTGAGTCTAGAAAGAGTTTGTCCTAGAGAGCTGCAGAAAGAGACCCTGTCTTTCTATGTAAGAACCAACAGGAGACCCCCCTCACCCCTGAGTTACCCCCACCCCACCCCAGACAGACTCAAAGAAGCAGCATAAAAAGACTTCGGGGGGAAAAAAAAGACCTCCAAAGTGGAATTTAGGCAGAAACCACAGGCCACTGAGGCCAGCAGAACTTGTCCCTTAAACTAACCAGGTTGGTGGGTGCAAAAACAGAAAAATCAACATTCTCCCGAGGACTGTAACAGAGCGTACACACCATGACAGTCAAAATGTCTAATTTGCAATCCCAAATTACTTGACGTACAAAGAATCAAAAATGTGATCAATATCCAAAGGAAAAGACAATCAGCAGATCCAACTCGGAGATGATCCAAGTGATAGAATTATTGGACCCAGGCTGGGCACAGTGGAGCATTCCTATAATCCCACCACTTGGGAGGCTGAGGCAGGAGAATTGCCACGAGTTTGAAGGTGCCCTTGGCTACATAGCGAGACTCTGTCTCAAAAAAAAAAAAGAATTATTGGACCCAAACTTCAAAGCAATTATAAACTGGTCCAGAAGGTAAAGGCAAACACATCAGAACAAATGGCGAGGCAGGGCTTCTCAGCTGAAGAGCGGAAGCCATGTACAAGGGGGAAGTAGAAATTCTACCTGGAATTACAATACCAGAAATAAAAATTTCTGAACAGGCTCAGGAGTAAATGCAGATGACTGAGGAAAGAGGCTCTGAACTTGATGATAAACGAGCAGAACCTGTTCTATCTGGAGAACAGACAAAAGGACAAGGACTAGGAGTTGGGGAAGCAAAGTCCCAGGACAAGATCAAGAGGCCAAACCTAGGTGCAATTAAAATCCTATTCAGAGAAGAGAAAGAGATGAGAGCAGAAAAATATTGGAAGAAATAGTGATGAAAAGTCACAAATTCAGTGCAAGTTACCAATTTGTAGATTCTTGAAACTCAGTGATCCACAGACAGGTAAATCCAAAGAAAATCTTTCCTAGACACATCATAACAGCAGCTGGATAACAATAAAACATGCACACAATGTGGGTGCCTGCAGGTTTCTTTTTTCATTTTTATTTTTCTTATTTTGGTGCCGAGGATTGAATTTGGGACCTTGCACTTGTGAGGCAGTTGGTGGAACCACTGAGCTAAATCCCCAGCCCTGCAGGTTTCTAATTAAAACCATGTAGGCCAGAAGAGAGTGGAACAGTAACTTTTGTTTATTTTATTATTTTTGTTTTTTTGAGACAGGGTCTTGCTCTGTAATTAGCCTGGCCTTGAACTCATTAGCCCAGGCTGTCTTCCAGTGATTTTCCTGCCTCAGCCTCCTGAGTACTGGGGTTACAGGTGTGTGTCACCACACCTAGCTACAATAATTTTAAATGCTGACAAAAAGCCAGGCATGGTGGCACATCCCTATAATCGCAGCATTCTGAGAAGCTGGAGCAGGAGGATCCCAAATTCAAGCCCAGCCTGGGCAACTTATTGACTTAGCGAGACCTTGTCTCAAAAATTAAAAATAAAAAAGGGCTGGGCATGGTGGTGCACACCTGTATCCCAGCACTTGGGGATCTGAGGCTGGGGGATACACTGAGTTCAGGGCCAGCCTGGACTAGGTAGACCCTGTCTCAAAAAACAAAAAGGCTACAGGTACAAGATCCCAATGAGAGATGTAATTGTGTTGTATACCTAAAATGTACCAATAAAAGAATGAAAAAAGAAAAAAAGGCAGAAAACCAAAAAGAAGTCAGGAAAGGGGGAACAGAAGAACAAAAAGACAGAGAGGAAGCCAGGTGTGGTGACCCGTGCCTGTAATCCCAGCACTCTAGGAGGCTGAGACAGGAGGATTGCAAGTTTGAGTCCAACCTGGGCAACTTAGGTACTTAGACCTTGTCTCACAAATAAAAAAATAAAAATAAAAAACCTTGGAAATAAAAGGCTTGCTGGGGATGTAGCTCAGTGGTTCCACTGCCTGCCTCACAAGCAGAAGGACCCGAGTTCGATCCCCAGTACCAAAAAAAAAAAAAAAAAAAAAAAAGGCTTGGGATGGATGTAGCTCAGTGTGAAGGCCCTGGGCTCCATCCCAAGTACCACTAAAAAAAAAAAAAAAAAAAGAGGGGATGGACAACTAGAAACTATAAAATGGTAGACCTCAACCCAGTTGTGTTAGTAATTCAATATACATCATATAAACACACTGATGGCAAGTGAAAAAGTGAAACTGGGATTTAAAAAAATTAACTGTATGCTGTCTACAAGAAACACCCTTTAATATAAAGGTAGAATAAATTAAAAGGAAAAGGAGGAGGGCCAGGGATTTAGCTCAGTGGTTCCACCGCCTACCTCACAGGCGCAAGGACCTGAGTTCAATCCCCAGTACCAAAAAAAAAAGAAAAAGGAAAAGGAGGAAAACCATGCAAACTCTATAATCAAAATAAGGATGGGGTAGTGATGTTAATGTCAGTGTAAGCTTTAGAGCAAAGAATATCAGCAAGAATAAAGACACATTATATGATTAGCAAAGCAAGCGCAACCATCCTGAATGTATGTTTGTCCACCTAACAATACAACTTCAAAACGGAGGAAGCAAAAACTGATAGAACCCAAAGGTCAGTGGTCTTTTATAGTTAGAGACTTTGATCTTTTTCTTTCTATACTTGAGAGAATAAACAGAAAATCATAAGAATATGAGAGACCTGCCTAACTGACACTTGCAGTTGTTCCCTCCCAGCAGTTCAAGTACCTGTGGGCCGTTCACCAAGACCTGCCATGTCCTGGGCCATAGAATAAACCTTATAATGTGAAAGAATTGAACCCACAAAAACCCATGTTTTCAGGACTAGTATTACTCAGATATCGGTAACAAGTTATCTAGGAAATCCACAAATATTAAATAACCTATACATTAAAGAGGAAATCGTATGGGAAATTAGAAAATATTTTGAATTGAATGAAAATATTCACTGGCCGGGATTTAGCTCAGTGGTTCTGCTGCCTGCCTTGCAAGCTCAAGATCCCAAGTTCGATCCCCAGTACCAAAAAAAACCCCAAAAAACAGGGCCGGGGATTTAGCTCAGTGGATCCACCGCCTGCCTTGCAAGTGCAAGGACCCAAGTTCGATCCCTGGTACCGAAAAGAAACTCCCAGCAAGCTAGGAATACAGTGGTCTCTTACTTGTGGTTTTGCTTTCCATGGTTTTAGTTTTACCGTGGTGTAAAAATATTCAGAGGGGAATCCCAGAAATAAAACACTGTGTAAGTTTAAATTGCATGCCGGTTTGAGTAGTGTTGTGGTTTGGATTTGCCATACCTCCAAAAACTCCTGCACTAGAGGATTGCCTGCCTCTGCTGGGCTTTCTGGGGTGTGGTTGGATGGAGAGGGAATCTCCCATGCTCCCCTCCCTGCTACCTGGCCATGGACAAGTACACAGCCCTGCTCTGCATGCCCTTCGGCCAAGACGGTCCTGCTTTGGGGCCCCTTTCCTCAGACTGAATCCCCTGAAACTCTAAGCCAAATTCATCTTTCCTCCTCTTAGGTGCTTTTCTCAGTGACAAAAAAATGCACAGCACAAGTAGTGTAATGAAATCTTGTTCTGCTTTGTTCTGTCTTTGCCCAGTGTGTCCATGCTGAGTAGCCACCTGCCCGTTAGTCATAAGTAGTCCTCTTGGCTGGACGGACTGCTTTGCATCAGCTCTGCTGATGTCTTGTTCTCACATCACCCCCTTTTTTTCTTTTGGAACTGAGGATTGACCCAGGACCTTTGCACTGAGCCACCTTCCTTAGCCCTTTTTTTTTTTTGGTACCGGGGATCGAACTTGGGTCCTCGCGCTTTTGAGGCAGGCATCAAAACCACTGAACTAAATCCCCGGCCCTGCTTAGCCCTTTTTATTTTTTTATTTTGAGATAAAGTTTTGCTTCATTGCTCAGTCAGGACTTGAATTTGGAATCCTTCTGACTCAGCCTCCCAAAATCCTGGGATTACAGCAGCACCACCATACCTGGCCCTGAAGAACTGGGATATGCCAAAGAGAAGCCATGAAGTGCTTCCTTTAAGTGAAAAGATGTAAGTTCTCAGTAAGGAGAGAAAAAGATTGCATGTTGATGTTGAAATGGTCTTCCGCCCATGAAATTGTGAAGGAAAACAATGGTGCTAGTTTGACTGTCACACCCCACAGTGCCTGACGGTGCTTGGTTAAGCTGGAAACGCTGTTAGGAGATGGGTTTGGAACTGTGGGGGGGGCGGTGTACAGGCTTCCACTGGGCCCCTGGATCTTGGTGTTCCCCCGACATGAAGGAGCACTGCTGTGGAAGAAACTTCCCTCGTGTTTACAGAAGATAGCTACTAAGAACCCTACAGGGGACACCACACTCAGTGGTAAAGGGTGTCCATTGTCACCAGTTCTGTTCAACATCATGTTGTTGCCCCAGCCAATGTGGTAGCAAGAAAAAGAAAGAAAATGCACACATATTGGTAAGAGAAATAAAACCTCTATTTGTAGACAACGTGATCTCTACATAGAAAATCCTATAGGACTGAGAAATGCAGTAGAACTAATTAGAAGGCTTAGTGAGATCACAGAATACTAGGTCAATGTACAACATTCAATGCATATTTGAATTTACCAGCAATGAGTGATCGGAAACAGAAATTAAAATCGTAAACACAGGAAGCAGACTTCCACTTGCACATAGGATGCAGCAGTTTACAGCAGACAGATCAATGCTCCCAATAAGAACTAGAAAAGCCCAACAGAAATATCAAAAGCATCTCTCTAAAGGCATCAGAAAGCTGCAGATGCAGTGAGCGGACCATCTGCGGCCATGCTCACCAAGTGTGCATTCCTGCTGTGTATGATGACAGACCAGAGATCTGAGGGCGTCTGATCAGGACAAATGTGGGGACTGCAGGGCTGACCACCCCTTCAGGGGGCTGACAAGTTTCCAAGAGGATGTGGAAGAGCCTGCGTGGAGCTTTCGGAGAGCAGGCCGGCCCTGTGGCCTCTCTCTGGGCCCAGGACCCAGAACGCACGGAAGGAGGCCATGGGGTACTGTCCTGCAGGACTGGTGTGGAGGAACAGAAGCCAGAGAGCAGCCCACCCTCCATGCAGCTCAGCCAGAGGGGAGCGAGGCCATCAATCTCCT